CAAGAAATCGGCGATAACTTCAAAGTCATCAGCGATGCCAAGACTAAGATGTACAAGATAGGCGACCGCAAAGCTGGTTCAGATCGAAACCATGACAAGAAGAATGTTCTTCGGCCTTAACAGATCAAGAACGATTAATGAAACTCTCATCACCAGATTTCGAGATTTTACGTCAGAAGACGACAGAATGATATACTCGGCCCTCCTTATGCAGAAGAAGGACCAGCAGTTTTTAACGGATCATCTTACATCAGTCTCCGTAGCGCTAACTCTGGCTGGTCGTCAAGGTCTCCTCGCTTCCTGCAGTTGGGGTGAACAGTTCACATCTTCACTCTACACAGCCCCGTGGTCTACGCCGTCAATCTTCGCTGGAGGAATAGATAAAGTCTCTAAAGAAGTCACCAAGGATTCAAGGGAAGTCGATGGACACGCTAGCTAGCATCATCAGGCAGACATCACAGAGATATTCAGGAAGATCAAAGTTTACTGGCTTACAGAAAGCACGGGACAGGAAGATGGCCGGTTCAAGAGGAGGAAAAGATTCTTTTAAGTAAGCCCATCACGGCAACTACAGGGGAGGATCTGGAAGAGGCAGGGCACCCAGAGGCTCCCGCAACTATAAACGATGAAAGACAGGTTCGGAACGACTGGAGTCTTCCACCCCCAGCCGTTCCAGTACAACCATCACAAGTGGGTGGGCGCCTTCAACTGCACTGGGAGAACTGGGGAATTCTACAGGATCCATATGTCTCCAACATCCTACAACCGCGGATGCTCGAATCCAACTACAGGCCACGCCTCGGCTTACAGTCAACCCTCACAAGTTAGACTTCCAGGCTCAACAACTACCAAAGTTACGAGAAGCTGTTTCATCTCTCCTAACCAAGCAGGCCATAGAAGTACTGGATCAAGTAAACATCGAACCAGGCTTCTACTCCCCAGTTTTCCTAGTGCCCAAGAAAAACTCCAAGGAAAAGTTCCAACTCATCTACAACATGAGCACGTTCAACAGAGATTATCTCACGCAAACCCGCCAGCGTTTAGCATGATACATCTACCTCAACTACTGCACCTAGTTAGTCCCATGGACTACATGGCCAGTATAGATCTGCAGGATGCTTATCTACATATCCGATACATCCCGAATCCAGGAAATACCTACGGTTTACACTAGGCGGGCTGCATTACCAATGGAGAGTACTGCCATTTGGAATATCATCGGCCCCTGGTTATTCACAAAAGAGTAACGAAACCTATCGTCACTTACCTACATCGTCTAGGGACTACGCGATGCGTTCTACCTCGACGGCGGGATTCAAGTAGATCAAGATCCACAGCGTCTCAAACTACAGTTAAACTTCATCATCAAGCTACTAACACAGCTAGGATGGTTAGTAAATCTACTCAAGTCGGACCTAGAACCCTCGCCAAGATCTGCAATTTCTAGGCATTCGATTTCTCCGACACAGAACTGTATCGTCGTGCGTACCAGAGGACCGATGGCTCAAGATCCAACAGACCATCCCACAAGCCTTACTCTCTCCACTACCACTCGACGACAATGGCAGAGTCTGTTGGGTCTCCTCACGTCAGCCCAAGACATGACAGTCAGAGGCAGACTACAGTTACGTCCGTTACAGGTCCTCATCAACGCGCTCATCTCGGCGACCTACAACCATTCAGTCTACGAAGCACATCAGACCTCATCTACTATGGTGGACCAGGAGGTTCGAATGTCTGCGAAGGCATCTATTAACAGAGCGAATTCAAAACCCATCTCTATGTAGGCGGCGTCAGCTCCAAGGTTGGGAAGCTCATCTCGCCAACCGGGACGGCATCAGGGTTATGGAACCAGCAAGAGAGCAAGCTGCACATAAACATGCTAGAAATGAAAGCAGTAATCAGCGCCCTACTACATTGGAGCACCATTCTACAGAATGCATCTAATGATTCACACCGACAACTCAACAGTGGCGTTTTATATAAACAAACAAGGCTCAGCGAGATCATTGAACCTATTGACTCTATGCTTTCAACTGTTCGATCTAATCGGCGATCTCAACATACATGTCAGAGCATGTCACATTCCTGGAGCCAAGAATGTACTAGCAGGCGCTCTCTCGCCCACATCTACCGTCACCGACAGAATGGATGCTCCATACAGAAATCTTTGCACAGATTATCAAGGAAATAGGAGCTCCGCTAGTAGACCTATTAAGCCACTTTCGCTTCAACAATCAGCTAACAACATTACATTATCACCAGTCCCGATCCACAAGCGTGGGCAGCGGACGCACTAAGCATATCCTGGGAAGGCCTCAGCGGCGTCACGGCGTTTCGCCCGCCAGCGCTAATTCCAAAGGTGTTACAGAAAATCAGACAAACTCAGAGCCTCCAACTGATTTTGGTCAGCCCTACTGGCCAGCGAGCGTGGTTTCCCATTCTAATTCAAAGGTGTTACAGAAATCGGACAACCAATACTACAACTACCAAAGCTCGAATCTACTAGTACATCCTCACACCAAACAAGCACGGAAGCCAGAAGCATTCCAACTTCGCGTATGGACTGTATTAAAGTGTGTCTAAACAAGAGAGGTTATTCAGCCAGGCGGCGAAAGCAGTCACGCTTGCTTTACGCCAATTCTGGCGCAACTTGTATGGCGACAAGTGGCACAGTTTTGAGACATGCGGCTGTTAAAAGGGATTTACAGCTAGAAATGCTACACATCCACAAGTGGCTAACTACCTTTGTTACCTCGACAAACTAAGCGTCTAAAAGGCTCGACATTGTCAACATATCCCGCAGCTCTAAGTTCAGTGGTAACTATGAGAACGGGTGTCAAGTTAACTAAGACACCAGAGTTATTGGCCTTGCTACGTTCATTCCGATTGGAGGATCAGAAACAGAGATTTCGCGCTCCAGCATTGGATCTAAATGTAGTGCTCCAACACCTCACAAGTGAGGCCTATGAACCACTGGAATTTCTGACACAGAAAACATTGTTCCTGTTATCCCTAGCAACGGCAGCCAGGATGTCAGAAATTCACGCTCTGGATTATGAGAGAACACGTTTAGATGACAATCAAAACATAGTGCATATGGGACTGCGATGGGACTTTATCGCCAAGAATCGATTGCCAGGTCAACCAGACAGATTATTCCATGTCCCTGCACTTTCCTCAATTCTCGGACCTCATGATAAACTTGACCTATCATTATGCCCAGTGAGAGCACTCAAAATCTATCTACAACGATCCAAAAAGCGAGGCTGACGACAACTCAAAGCGGTTATTCATCCCTCTATCGACAGCGACTCAGACCGAAGTCTCGTACCCGCGATATCGATATGGATCAGAACTGTCATGCCGTGCCTACAAGGCTGCAGGACTCGACCCTCAAGAGCATCTAATCCCCATGAAATCAGAGCACTGGCTTCGACACTTTCGCTCTACGACGGAAATTGCTTTCGTTGAATACCATTATGGAGGGCTGCTTTTGGAAATCCGACATGGTGTTTGCTAACCACTATCTGAGAGATATCACCACCGAGGGCGTCTCAGGTATTCACCATTTAGGTCCCATGGTCCTCGCACAGCAGTTGACAGTCCCTAAGTAGAGCGATGAGACATAGTCTCACGAGATTATTCTGTATATATCATACCAGTATTATCTAGCTTATAACTCTGAGGAGTTTTGTGCTAATTATATACATATCTTAAGTCTACATTAGTCTTAAGCCCAGTACTGATGTTACATGTACATTGGGTTGGGTCTTCTCCACTTTGGAGTCGCTTTTATACTATTATTATTATTATCATATTATCTAAATATTGTAGTACCCCATCTATGGCAGCTGGTAGAACTTATGTATTATAGCAGCAGGAATTATCTTAATTACAGTGCCATTATGAAGTTCCGTAGGGGTTATTACATATATAAATCACTAATTATTTAAATCCAAAGTATTCTGTTTCCCACCTCCGTTTCCGTAGGGATTCTACAAGCAAAGAGCATGAGTCAGGATAAGGAAAAATATGTAATTTTCTGAATAAAATTGATATTTTATACTTATCCTGACTCATGAGGTTAGCCCTCCCATCCTCCCCACATAACACTTTGGATTTCCCTGTAAACTAGAGTGTTGGGCTCGTTAAACAGGAGAGAGTGAAGCATGTGGGAAGAGGTGGCGCCTCCTTTCCCGCGCATTTCGGAAAGGGAAGCAACTCTTGGTGAGTACTAATTCGTGATTTTACATTGAAGGGAGCTTCAATTAGGGAGATACAAGTGTTCCACTATGTTCGCAAGAAGAAGAAGACAAGCAAAAGAGCATGAGTCAGGATAAGTATAAAAATATCAATTTTATTCAGAAAATTACATTTTCCGTTACCTTTTAGAACCAGAGTCATTATTTTATGGTGCAACCATTTATCATCATGGGATTTGTTTCTGTTGAATATATCTGATACTGAGTACTTGTTTAAAAATTGTTAAACAAGTATTTACGTTACTTTTGGAACCAGTGACATTACTTTATGATCCAACCAAAATATTGATGGTGCAGCCAAACTGGTAAGTCACGTTGCACTCGATGCAGGAACTGAAAAATCACTGGTAAATCGCACCCTGGTCAGTTTTGTAGGTGTGTCAAGCATGTATTATGTCAAATACATTTTGAAAATGTAACATATGTTATATTTGGGATTACACTTTCTTAGTGAAGTACAAATTCTAGTACCTTTTGAGTTGAGCCCCATCCTGGATTCGAACTCACACCCTCAGAGTCAGGCGCCTAATCGCCAGCACACAAAGTCGGCCGCCTATTAAATGTCTGATTCTGAGGGTGTGAGTTCGAATCCCGGATGGGGCTCAACTCAAAAGGTACTAGAATTTGTACTTCACTAAGAAAGTGTAATCCCAAATATAACATGTTACATTTGACCACTTTCTAAATGGTATTGTGTAATCATAACTTTTGAAAATGACTTGTATTAATCTTCAGACACACCGCCATCTGGCTACATGAGCGAGGAGGGTGATACCACGGACAATTCTGGAATGGGTAAGTTCCTCATCTGGATGAGGAGCAATTAGATTAAATGTTTTTCAAAATATCTTATCATAATTGTCATGCAGTAGCAACCCATTCTAACATTCGTAACTTTCGGTAAGAAGACTTGTACCCCTCTCGTAGCCATTTTACCGAACTTGACTCTGTCTGAGCGCAAAAGCGTAGAGAGAAAGAAATAGTCCAGTTGCCAAACTATTTTCAAGGGCATATAACTCTAGTTTACTTTGAAAACAAACATGGCATCCATGCCAAGTAACATGGTTAAATACTTTCCTACGCCATAATGTTAATATATCCTGGGTATTCAAATTCTGGAAACCCAGAAGAACTATGCAATACTTGAAGTGTCTGGGGAAAAAATTATGCAGCAAGCCGAATTGAAAATTATTTCAACTAACTATTTTGACCCAATTTCTTCTCTACATACGCGCATTCTGATTAGCTGGGGGAATATTTCTCCCACACATGGCTACGAGAGGGGTACGAGTCTTCTTTCAGGTTTTATGACTCACTCACACAAGCATGCACACACTCTCGCGATCACATGCTTATTTTTGCAGTAGAAAAACTGTTAAAAGTGAAGATGTTTTTTGTTTAAGAATCTTACAAAGTTTCAAATAGATCTTGAAAATCTCTTTCTTTGATCCAAGTATTTTGATACTTGAAAAAATATCATCATAGTTTTTTATTAGGTTCATTTGTAAAAGAAGGAAAATATTTGTCCATCTTTTCAGAGTTGCATCTCTTAACGGAGCCAGGATACTGTCTCCAATTTGTACACTGTGTGTTAGGGAAAGCATTTCTTTCTTTGATGAAAAGTATCTAGATGTTGGGTTATCCACTGCCCAGTAATCTATGGTGCTGCAACTGTCTATGCAGAGTTGCATCCCTTAATCATTAAGTAAGGATCTGCTGATCTTTGTGTACCTCACTCACCCACTCACTCACTCACTCGTCATTCACATCTGGATGTTATTCCTGTTGTTTCAGATGGAATTGATGTGTCACCCAGTCCCCCTGCACTACGTAAGTAGACTCTTCCCCTCACGTTAATCTATCACGTGACTGTCCGAGTAGCGTTGGTGTTCAGCTGCTCATCCCTGTTACAACTAATAGTGTCTGGCTGGCTGACAGACGTGGTGGATGCATGTTATCGTGTCCCAATGGTGATCACTGGATTGTCTGGTGTAGATATTATTTTTACACATTTGCCATATTGTGAAGAAATCTTTGCTGTTTTTCATTGTCAGTACTTTTTAAAATGAACACAGGGTTTTCTCTTACTCTCGAAATTGGTGGTCCAGGGGATTCATTTCAGTAAATTTTACGAGTCCTTCCTGGTAATATGACGGTCCTGTAAAGTCTTGAAATAAATAAGAATAATAGCCGGGCATAGTGAACATGTGTTGGGGCGATGGGGTAGCCTAGTGGTTGAAGCGATCACTGGTTTGATGCCCACTAGTGTAGGGAATTGGTTGAAATCTCACAATTGATGATTGGTTCAATACCAACGACCAATCATCGAAAAGAAATTGGTTAGCGTCATTTTTTAAATTTCCTATTCAGGTTGTAGTTGCAGATAAGTATAAAGGAAAAAACATTTGGTTCTCTGTTGTTGTTTTTGAAACTGCACAAATTACATTTACAAATTTCACATCCAGTGTAAAATGATTCAGTTCCAGTGTAACATAAACTTCCCAGATTCTTCAAGAAATATTCAGTCATGACTTTTCAGAAAGTGAAGTGAGTTTTCTTAGAAATAGTACTCAATTCCAGCTATAGAGGACCTTGATTAAGAGTACGTCCTAGATACCCGTTCCATCATCAAGTATTTCAGCTCTATTACAGCGATGGTTCCCTTGTGGTTGAAGTGATCACTGGTTTGATGCCCACATGTGATACAATGTGTGAAGCCCATTTCTGGTGTCCCCACTGTGATGTTGCAGGAATATTGCTAACAGCGGCATAAAATTGAACTCACTCACTCTCTGTTGAAATGTTTTTACACCAATGTAATCATGTAACGGGCTACATTGATATATTGTATCACAAGTTGTGTATCAGGTTATGATACTATATGTTGTATGTTATTATTCTTAACATCATTCCTGACTACTGTTGACAGTGCTGCTGGTGAAATAACTTGCCTCCAGTCATTATCATTGGAGACAAGCATAGGGTATTGATATCCTCTTGTCAAGGAATCCCCCAAGGAGACAAGCAGGGTTCTACATGACGCGTGATTCCTGCGTATTTGACGCAACGATTTTGTAAAAGACTCTCAAAATATTATCATACGAGTCAAGCTTGACGCAAGTTTTATGAGTGACCCTCACAATTCAGTTCAGAGTCACTAAAATCGATCTGATAAGCAAACAATGATAGTTTTCCAGAGGCCCAGATAAGCTGCGTATTTGGGTATAATGCACATAGACAAAAATTCCAATTACGCATTGAAAAATAATTGTTGCGTACCAATTACGCATTGAAAATGTTAGATACGCAAAAAGTTTCAAACATATGCATACGGAATATATTTATAAAATCGCTTGCGTAATGAAAAAGACATCAATTGGTATCAAGTTGTACTGTTAGTACAGGATGAGTGATGTTTTATGAAATCATTTCCATTATATTTAAGTTGGTTTTGATTAGGTATGACATAAGGCAGTACATACCTGCTTAGTAAACTTACTCAATGACATATACTTAGGTGAGTAAATTCACTGAAATACCCACATATTTGAAAGCAGTGGGTAATGGAAAATGAAATGCCCACTCAACATTTATAATACCCACTCCTAAAAAAATACAGTGGGTACAGTACCCACATGAGCTAAATCTTATCGTACAGTACCCACCTGAGCTAAATCTTATCGTACAGTACCCACCTGAGCTAAATCTTATCGTACAGTACCCACATGAGCTAAATCTTATCGTACAGTACCCACATGAGCTAAATCTTATCGTACAGTACCCACATGAGCTAAATCTTATCTGGAGCTCTAGGTGTAGTGTAGAGTACATTCAGATAATGACTTCAGAGACTGGAATGAACGTGTGGTAATGTGGACAGGGTCATGACTGAAATAACGGACACAGATAACTACTTTAGGTGGGCTGTGGGTACGTTCTTGGTATGTGTGTGCAGCTCTCAGGATTCGATATTGCGGGTTTTCTGCTTCCATTATGTACATTTGTGTGTACTTGTGCATCTTGTAAATCCCTGGAACTGATTTAGGGAATGAATTTGAGTTTGCGTTGCTTTTAACAGCAGCAGAGAACAACGACCTTCAGCCTGTCACCTACAAAGAGCCTGAGTTCTGGTGCTCCATTGCGTACTACGAGCTGAACACCCGCGTCGGGGAGACGTTCCACGCATCGCAGCCCTCGCTGACCGTCGATGGCTTCACGGACCCCTCCAACTCTGAGCGCTTTTGTCTGGGGCTTCTGTCGAATGTCAACCGAACACAGCAAGTGGAGATGACCAGACGCCATATTGGTTAGTGTAGAAAAATAATATCGATCTCAGATTTTGTTCTTAATTCAGTATTACTGTTTTTGGTTCTAAAAGAACAGGACCCATGAAGATTTGGTTAGAACCATGTTAGAACTGGTCTTTAGCAACCCATCCTTGTTGTAAGAGGCGACTAGCGGGATCGGGTAGTCAGGCTCGCTGACTTGGTTGACTTGACATGTCATCGGTTCCCAGATCGATGCTCATGATGCTGATCACTTCATTGTCTGGTCCGGACTCAATTATTTACAGACCGCGACCGTATAGCTGGAATATTGATGAGTGCCATGTTAAACAATAAGCAAGGTTTCTTTTCAGTCTCTTATACTTCCCTGTTTTTAGTGTGGTGTTAAACAACAATCCAAAAGACCTAAGTTTTACACAGCAGCCTCCGATACTGATTCACTTTTGGATGGCAGGCGGACAGTCATATCAGACACTGGTCTCATAGAAGATTTTGTTTCCATCAAGATGGGATACTATTTTCCTGGAACTTCCATATCGAACCGCTGGTATGTCTCTCTGATGTGGGCGGTGGGGTAGCCTAATGGTTAAAGCGTTCGCTCGTCACGCCGAAGACCCGGGTTCGAATCCCCACATGGGCACAATGTGTGAAGCCCATTTCTGGTGTCCCCTGCCGTGATGTTGCTGGAATATTGCTAAAAGTGGCGTAAAACCAAACTCAGTCAGTCAGTGAGTCTCTGTGATGTTGCTAGAAGCATCATCTGTTGTGTTGTGTTCCAGGCAAGGGCGTACGCCTGTACTACATCGGAGGTGAGGTGTTTGCAGAGTGTCTCAGTGAAAATGCTGTGTTTGTACAGAGCCCCAACTGCAACCAGCGCTACGGCTGGCATCCTGCGACGGTCTGCAAGATACCACCAGGTGAGTCATGCCAGTCTGGGTAGGAACACTTTGGTCATGCAGGGAAAACCCAGGGTGCTTTAAAAACACTCGGTCAACTCTGTAGGACTCCAATTTGGGACACTGTACAACTCCATTTCGGGACACTATACAACTCCAATTTGGGACACTGTACAACTCCACTTCGGGACACTGTACAACTCCACTTTCAGACTCTGTAGAACTCCACTTTCAGACACTGTAGAGCTCCACTTTTAGACACTGTAGAGCTCCACTTTGAGACATGGTAGAGCTCCACTTTCAGACACGGTAGAGCTCCACTTTCAGACACGGTAGAACGCCACTTTCAGACACGGTAGAGCTCCACTTTCAGACACGGTAGAGCTCCACTTTCAGACACGGTAGAGCTCCACTTTATGACAATGTAGAACTCCACTTTCAGACACGGTAGAACTCCAATTTGGGACAATGTGGGACACATTGCAACACACTAGGATCCCTTGGGACAAACTGTTAGGTATAACTACCATGCCATTTATGAAGCATTTCATGTTTTGGATGACTAAAGCAAGTTCATATGATATGATCCCATAATAATGACTTCTTGGGATTCAATGAGACATGCCACTTCCCTTGACATATTTTCTTGTTATGCCTACTGTATGCTAAGGATGTCTACGCAACACAGTCTGTGATGTATTTGATAGACTGAGTGAAGTGTTTACTACAGTAGAACTTTTATAACGAACACGGAAATAATGAACTGACAGCTATAGCGAACTGTTTTAGAAGTCCCGAATAAACCTCTGTATATTATCATATAAAAAAGTTGTGAATAACAAATTCTCTATAACAAACTTAATGGCTATAGCGAACTGATTTGCAGTTAACACTAATGAACAGTGTGAATAACGAACTGAGCGAACTCAATCAGTGTCACTGCCAATTAGCGGTGCTCACTTTGAAATCAGTGTATAGCGAACTGACTTGCAGTCCCTGGAAGTCTCGGTGAACATTAATTAATGGTGTGAATAACGAAGACAAGCGTGGACAAAGTAAGATCACAGACTTTGTAGTGAAACGAATGAAACTGTCGAATGAATGAATGAATAAACTGAGTAGGAATGTATCACACTGTACAGTATGTCTTTATTGTTCTTTCGGGCGGTGGGGTAGCCTAATGGCTAAAGCGTTGGCTCGTCACGCCGAAGACCCGGGTTCGAATCCCCACATGGGTACAATGTGTGAAGCCCATTTCTGGTGTCCCCCGCCGTGATGTTGCTGGAATATTGCTACAAGCGGCGTAAAACTAAACTCAGTCAGTTTATTGTTCTTTCAATGGAATTTCGTGAATAGCGAACTACGGATATAACGAACTAATTTCATTGGTCCCTTGGAGTTCGTTATAAAGGTATTTTACTGTTTTTGCATGTGAATCATGGCCAAGCATCATGGATTAAGGCTCATTCAACCACTTCTTGTCTACGTCTATGTTTAGTAAAGCAGACAAACCAAACCTGTGTTTAATATCTTTGTTCCAGGGTGTAATCTGAAGATATTCAACAACCAGGAGTTCGCAGCCCTCCTGGCCCAGTCTGTCAACCAAGGATTTGAATCCGTGTACCAGCTCACACGAATGTGTACCATCAGGATGAGCTTTGTCAAAGGCTGGGGTGCAGAGTATAGGTAATGTCTATGTACCAGCTCACACGAATGTGTACCATCAGGATGAGCCTTTTTCAAAGGCTGGGGTGCAGAGTATAGGTAATGTCTATGTACCAGCTCACACGAATGTGTACCATCAGGATGAGCTTTGTCAAAGGCTGGGGTGCAGAGTATAGGTAATGTCTATGTACCAGCTCACACGAATGTGTACCATCAGGATGAGCTTTTCAAAGGCTGGGGTGCAGAGTATAGGTAATGTCTGTGTACCAGCTCACCATCAGGATGAGCTTTGTCAAAGGCTGGGGTGCAGAGTATAGGTAATGTCTGTGTACAAGCTCACACGAATGTGTACCATCACATGTGTATCAACTAATGTTTTAAGTCAGTGACCTTTTAGACATCTCTCACCAGGACACACAGTTCATTCAAATGCATGACAACCTTATTAAAATTTATCATTTATCAATTTACTGGGCCATTTATGTCCGCAAGCTGAAGGACATGTGAAGATCCAGGGTAGAATTGATCTTCAACAACTTATTATAAGAGGCGAAAATGGGGTCAAGTGGTCAGCCTCGCTGATTGGTTGATGCATGTCATCACATCCCAATTGCATAGGTTATAATAATAATAATAACTAGGATTGCCTCCAGGGCAATACTGGCGGTCTTCAGACTTCCCCATACACTCCCCGTGGCTACCTTTACTTATCCTGTTTCTTTGGACGACAGCTGGATCGCCCATTACAGTGTTTCTGAGATAGAATTACCAAGAAAGTAAATGTTAGTTAATGTGAAATGTTGACGCCCTAATTTGGCGCTGATTCAATGCAGCTGACACAAACTGCAGAAAAACAAACGTGGGCAGTGTTGCTATATTTTACTGTCGCTTCCTGTGATATGAGATAACTAACTGAAGGAAGCGACAGTAAAATCTAGCAACACTCGCCGCTTCCTTCAGTTAGTTATCTCACAACTGACAAAATGCGAAATCCTAATGTCCCTCCCTGTTTGTGGCGTAATTGTGGCGTAACTATTGACTTTTACATAATAATATTGTGAAGCAAAATTGTTCCACATTTCATTATCTACAGTTTGGTGTCTTCGAAAAGGAAATCCATTGTGTTTTCCCAGAGCTGTGAACCCTATAAAAATGCGTTTTGCTAAAAGTTGACCAACTTCCAAGGGCAATAACTCCGACACTATTCAAGATATCAACATGCCTTGAGCAAACTAAGTAGTCCGGAGTGTGGGCTTTAAAACGATATATAGAACACTATTGTATTATTTGCCGTTCAGGAGAAGAAGATTGTTAAACACAGGCACCGTCAAAAAGGTGCGGAAATGTGCGAAATCGTTAAGGTTGTCTTTGTGTCGTAATGGTGACGTAATTATTGATTTTTACATAATCATGATGTGAAGCAAAAATGTTTCCCATTCAATTACCTAGAGGATGGTACTTAGAAAAATGGAATCCATGGATTTTTCGCAGAGTTGTGACATATTTGTTAACCCTATGGAAATGCGTCTTAGAAAATTTCACAAACTTCCAAGGGCGATAACTCCAAAACTATTCAAGAAATCAACATGCCTTGAACAAATTAAGGTGTCAAGCGTGTAGGCGTATCGAACGCGATTGTACTATATGCCGTTCAGGAGAAGAAGATTGTTAAACACAGGCACCGTCAAAAAGGTGCGGAAATGTGCGAAATCGTTAAGGTTGTCTTTGTGTCGTAATGGTGACGTAATTATTGATTTTTACATAATCATGATGTGAAGCAAAAATGTTTCCCATTCAATTACCTAGAGGATGGTACTTAGAAAAATGGAATCCATGGATTTTTCGCAGAGTTGTGACATATTTGTTAACCCTATGGAAATGCGTCTTAGAAAATTTCACAAACTTCCAAGGGCGATAACTCCAAAACTATTCAAGAAATCAACATGCCTTGAACAAATTAAGGTGTCAAGCGTGTAGGCGTATCGAACGCGATTGTACTATATGCCGTTCTGGAGAAGAAGATTTTTAAAGACAGGCACCGTCAAAACGCGGAAATCGGCAAAAAATTCAGTTTTTTCAAAATTGCGGAAAATTTGACCTACCGGCCAACTTTTGCTATGTGTTGAATCGTTGGAGAATGGTGTTGTCTACATTGAGTGAAAATTTGGTCAATTTATCTCTCATAGTTTTTGAGTTATTCAGGTGTAAAGATTTCGACATTTTGGGTTGTCTGCCCTTACCGGAAGCAGGAAGTCGGGATTTTTTCAACATTGTATCAATTTCAGCATACAGGCTATCATCCCAGAAAGTTTCATAAAAATCGACCCAGCGGTTAGGTCAGCGGAGCGGGTACAAAATCTGTACAAACAATAATAATAATAATATTCGGATAATAACAGTAGGTCTTCCAGACATTCGTCTGAAGACCTAATAATAATGTGTCCGTTTATACAGCGCCAAACTCCACACTAGGTATGCTCACAGCGCTAACAATCAAGGCACAGCACATTATTACCCCAGATAACCCAAGCTGCCTGTTAGACGCTAGAAGGTTATAGTCATATGACTTTTGAAAAATTTGTTCGCCAAAACACACCCGCATATAACGGCCATTTTTTACTTCAGGCACATCACGTCGAGTGGTACCCTGTCTAATATTTTCTTCATAATGAATTATTTTTTCATAATTAGATCAATATTTTTGTTCTTTGGTGAAGAGAAAACATTGAAGTTTCCCATTTCCTAAAAAGTAGTAACTTTCGGTTTAATTATTTATAAACAAAAACAATCTCAATGTTACATCACCGATTGGACGAATAGGAGCGATCATGGCAACGGCAGTAATCAAACACCACCACATGCATTGTGATACCGAATAAAATGTGCCATCCTTTAAATAGATCCAACTATTTTTGCTGGAATTAATTACATGGTCTCATTAGGTAATTGGTATATTAAAATTATCATATTTATCGAGTTTATAATGATTTTGTTGGATAAACCTTCCGACACTGACATCGTTGACAGCCGTGGGTGACGCGTAAGGGCGTGGCCAAACTCGCAGTTTTTTTTAGGTGACAAGACACGAAGGATGTTTGAAAATACGTGTTCATAAGCAGAATCTGAACTCAAAAACATTCAAAGAAAACGACTCAATACCTAAATAATGCAGATCATGAAACATTATCCCAATATTTGTGATTGTACCCACCCTTGATGAAACCGGAAGCACGTACGGCATGACACTCATGGAGGTAAAATATGCACGAGTTGGAAAACGACCATTGACACATTTTCTAAATTGATTCAAATTCCTGTAAAATCCATTGTGTTTTTGACTATATAATTGGCATAACACAATGTTTTGTTCCTGTGAGCTATGATTAATCATTCTAAATAGTGATTTGTGGTAAATTTGGGTTTGCCAGACGAAATATCTCCAAATTTACTGTTAGTATTCAATAGCGAAAGATTTTTACCAGACAACCCCTGTCTGTGACATCACATCCGGTGACCTTTGCACTTACCAGAAAACAAGTTACTGTATATTACCGTCTATAAGCCGACCCCATAGATAAGCTTACTCCCAAACTTGACCCTTAAAATCAGTGTCTACTCACGCATCGAATTGAAGTGTAGTTGACAGAAAATGGATAATATATTTTGTTTCGCTAAATATCATACATACTGTAGTTAGACGATAACATGTCAACAAACTGGCTTGCTTATTACCACCTTGTTTTCCATGGACTGCTAGTTTACAGTAACATCGGTAAAAATGTGTGAATTTAAATGGCTTGCTTATTTTACACCATTCCATGTGCGTACAATTTACCACGTTCATGAGGGTCCGTATAACCTTAGTGTTGATTATATATTTTACATTTACAGTGCAAAAACTGTAATTAAAATTACACAATGGTAGGATATATTTCTGTGGGTTAAATAATAGTATTCTGTATTATATTTTACTGATGACTGCGCCAGAATTCATCCCGCTATATTATTGTACATGTTTGAACTTAATCGCTGGGAAACGTGTGCACAGCTGATTGAACGATAAATGTCATAATGACTAATATGTAATAATATGTTGAAATAATGAAAACGTACAGGTTAATTTGTATTTTATTCATCTTTCACCACATAAACGCTGTAATCGTGGCAAACATCCTGGCAGATGTACCGGTAACCTGTAACATCGTCCTGGCAGGGCACTGGCGAGCTAAAAAATATTTTGTGAAATTGTATCTCATGTTTTTTACTTTGTCTTCACGCTGATAATTGGCGATACAAATATACGAATTTAAAGTCAGATAATTATAAGATATCGGAAATAAGAATATTGAAATCGGTTTGCTTTAATTTCACGATTTATTCAGGTTCCTTATATGAAACGCATTACACTGTCAATCAAGTAATTCAGGTAAATTCAGGAAAATTTACATTATTTATGTTTGCCTTGTCATTAACCTCTGTATGTTTGAAATTATCAGGATATTTTTAGATAATAATGTTTGTTGTTCTATCTAGCATTAATGTGCCAAATATTTTTTCAGTTGTCCCTTCATTAATGACACACCGACTGTTTGAAATCACCCACCCTCTTACAACACCCTTATGCTGAAATTAATTCAGCAGGCTAAAGGTTAAAGCTAAATTTCAACCTGTTTTCCTTTCAGACGTCAGACAGTCACCAGCACGCCCTGTTGGATTGAAATCCATCTGAACGGTCCTCTACAGTGGCTTGATCGAGTCCTCACACAAATGGGATCGCCTGGACTCCCATGTTCCAGCATGTCCTAGATAATCACCTCCAGGGGTCAAGGTCAGGGTCGTTGTTGTGACCTCAGAGGTCAAAGCAAGGTCAAGTGCAGATTTTCACCCAGCATGTGACCTGTAGAGGTCAGGTTGTTGTCATGACCTTCAAGGTCAGAGCAAGGTCAAGTGCATTTTTTCCCCAGCTTTGTGACCTACAGAGGTCAAAACACAGGTCGTGACATTGAGAGGTCATATATAATGGCGGAAGTACAACACCACCTCTCCCAAGTGAAGACTATTTCTTGTGAATGCTGCAAACATTCAGTGATTTTTTTTATACCGGTGAAGTGAGACATATTGGTTTATGTGAAGTGGAAAGAAACATGGAGACATGGCTGAGCGACATTTGTACAGAATGATGTAGTCCATCGCTGGAGGATAGACTGCGTAAAAGTCATTGAACATTGTTTCATCGTCCCGGCATTGTGTCTCCCTGCCTCAATATACAATTACAAATATATCCATCATAGATTTCTAGTACATTATGCAGTATGCCAAAAACTTTCTCGAAATCTATTGATACTGAATCCGTTTCCTTGGATACCACATCCGAGGCTGCTGTTTCCAAGGTAACATGCTTCAGTGAGATTATATTTCTTTTTCTCTCTTACGACAAGCCTGTGCTCTTTGAACCTCAGATCTGTCTGAGTTTCATTAAAAGTTGTCCGTGGACAATTTAGCCAGTTACCTTGGTTATCACCTTATATTATGTTGCCATGGCTTCAGTGTCACCATGGTTACAAAAGTTTGTGTTTTTTCATGATCAACAATGGATTGCCAGGAAGCTTTCTGTAGATCGTCAGGCTCCTTACAGATATTTTTGTTAGCACAATGATAGTCGTTATGTCAAATCACAGAACCACACACAACTAAGACCACCCACAAACGTTTTAAGGAAACATTTTTTCAGTATCTGAGCACCCTTTACAGTCTGTCATGCCATGAAAAGCCACAATAAATTAACTGACGATTGATATGTTGACAGGGTTTTACACAGACTTTTAAAAATGGGAGTCACAGTGACTCACAGTATATATTTTTGGGAGTCATTTTCAATGTTTGGGAGTCATGAAAATTTTAATATTTCTTTGTTAATCATTCTCAGTATATACAGGGGTGGAAATAACTTTAAAATTGCAAGTGTACTCCGGTACAGTGGCACACGTGAAATCACTTGCCCTGATAATTTTTCCACTATACCGTCTGTTTTCTTGCTGATTTTTTAAATAAACAACATAATTAATATTGGAAAGTCAACTGGACACCGGTACAGTGTGATATACAAATTTGCTTGCCCGACAGAAAAAAACACTTGACTTGGGCGTCGGGCAATGGGTTATTTCCACCCCTGATATAACTGTCTGTGTCACACCACCAAATGAAACTACAGCATTGTTCAGTTCAAACAGCCAGGATTACTGTCTCCTCTGAGTTCTCTGGAACAATCTGACAGCTCTGTAAAGGTCAAATTATCATCGAACAATATCATGTTTTGCTTATCAAATCGATTTTATTGAACTGAATTGTGAGGGCCACCCATAAAACTTGCGTCAAGCTTGACTCATATGATAATGTCTTGAGGGTCGTTTACAAAATTGTTGCATCAAATACGCAAGAATCACGCATCATGTAAAACCCTGTGTTGAAATATTACAAGCATGAGTGGTGAGACAGTAAAGGGAAATAACTCTTATCCAAAAATTCTAAAATTAGGAATGGGGGAATTACGAACCAGGAAAAATAAGGCAGTGTCATATTTCAAAATGCCCTGAACACCAATCAGGAACATTTATTCCATTTCCAGGGAACTATTAAAACCAACTTTAAAAATAAAAATAAAGAAATATTTGCGTGTGGTTATGTTTAGTTTTGTGTGGTTTGCTTATTTCACTGTTTGTAGTACATTGTCTTGCCAAGCTTGGTCATATGGAAGGCAGTATCAGTCTGGTTGTGTTTGCAGCAAGTGGGTTGTGTGAAAAGGAGGAATTAGGAATTAAAGGCAAATCCGTGTTCTGTTATCGTAATGTCATAAGAACTGTTTCATGAAGCCAGAGCACTTTATTTTCTTGGTTTATGGATCCACGTCCCAATGTTTTGCCAGTTGTGTTTATTGATCAAATCAAAAAGTACTTCACTGAACATGTCTGATGTCATTCTCTTCCCACAGAGGTTACTTATCATATCTTCCTACGAATCTCTGTTCTAATACGGCCATATTTCCCGGTTCTCGTAAAATCCCATAGCGGCAAAAAATCGCAACACAAATTATCTCCCTACTTTCTATCCAATCAGAACACGTGTTACATCGACTTAGATCTAACTGGACTAATGCAAGTAAATATGGGGCCACAAATATCCCTCCTCTGCCGGGGACTTGTGTTGATGTGACACACAAGACATTTAATGGCTAGCTTGTCCATTGTCAACGAGGGCGATGGAGACGCCATTGATCCGCCATTACACGACTGAGTTCTGTCTATAAGAAACGTTTACGCATCGCGCAGGAGAAGAAGTTCTAGTTTTCCAGAAGCATACGGAAATTACTGAGGCCTTGCGAATGATCACATTTGAAACAACGTCGCTGATTGCACAACTAAATCTGATTGAAAACCAATCACGAATCCTGAACACTCGCACCATGAAAGGGCTGTATTAGAACAGAGGTTCGTAGGAAGATATGACAAGTAACCTCTGTGGGAAGAGAATGGTCTGATGTTTGAAACATAAATATTTTGGGTCCCGAATAAAATTGTTTAACACCTACTTTTAAATAAATACAACAAACAAACGGAACAAAAACAACATTCAGCACTAAACATCGTTATATCCAGAGTTACCTGTGATCAAAGTCAGCTGTTCAGGTAGATTCCTTCTTGGAATTCGTGAATGAGCATGACCATCTGATGATCATCTGACTACCTTTTCAGGCGTGCTCAATAGTGAGGTCGTAAACTTTTAAATATCATAAGACATGCTGACCCTTGTTCAGATAGGTGTTGACCCACTTTCTGAAATCATTGGCCAATTGACCCTGATAAGGTGGTGGGATAGCCTAGTGGTTAAAGCATTTGCTCGTCACGCCGAAGACCTGGGTTTGATTCCCCACATGGGTACAATGTGTGAAGCCCATCTGGTGCCACCTGTCATGATATTGCTGGAATATTGCTAAAAGCGGTGTAAGACCAACTCACTCACTCATCCCTGACATAAAAAATCTGGTTAAAGATACGATGTAGTTAAGTTAATCATTGATTCCTTTTCTTTAAGAAAGGATCTTGTTTTTTTGTTTTGTCCCCAAATGGACAGAGTCTCTGAAAATGGAAATTAGAGTGGTCTGGCCTGTTGTAAGAATGATACAATGCTTTTCAGAATGTTCCTCAAATGTCGTATGTCTTCATTTATTAATGATTTGAACATTGTTGTTAAATTAGTATATGGAGGTGATACGTTGTGTGCTCAAAATTTTAATTTGGTATCTTGGCTCCTAAACACTAAATTTCAACACCCAATCACGATCTCTGTTATTTTAACATTCAGATGCATGTAATTGTGAGACAAATGAGATCTTTGTTTAGTCAGTTAGGAAACAGTTGCTGAGCAACAAAAATCAGAAGTGAAACTGTCCAGACTTACAGAGATGCCAACCCCAATTTAGCCCAAGTAGTATTTTGGCCAAATACCGATTCAAAAATTAGTATTTGTTGGCCAAAATTAGTATTAACTTTTCCAAGGAATTTTCATATAAAATAAAAAATTAAATATATAGTCTAAGACCATGTTATTAACATTGTACTCACCTAAATCAGTAGTAAGTATCCACATATAGCTTGATACTGAATAAAATGTGATCGAAATTTATTGTGTATGGTATGTATGCTATTTAATAATTTAATTTAACGTATTTTTTTTTTAAATCGTATATTTTTACTGCTATCGTAGTCACATATTTTGTGGGGTTTTTTCGTAATGAATACGATAAAATCGTATGGGTTGGTATCTCTGGATTTATATATTCTAAGTGAGTTTGAATTAGAACCCATGTTGAAAATATCCTAGTTTCACTATTGCTAAATGGAACTTGTTAGGAAATTCTGCAGAATTCCGCAGAAATTAAGACCAACTGACACATGAAGAATATTTTTTGCAGATGTGTATAAGTGATTGAGGAAAGGATTTCTGCAGAAATTATTGCATGAAGACTAAATCAAAATGGCGAGTCTTATTCTAAAACAGTCCTTTTCCTAAATGACTGCTTTTTTTGTGAATAAAAAATTAGTCCTAAAGAAGGTGACAGCGTAATGGGAACGTGACATTGAACATGCATGCTTTATGTACATAATGTTTTTGTAAAGATGAAGAACATTTCAGTGATGAGGTCACGGAAGGTTGATTGAACCAAATTAAGTCCCTTGACAAAAAGTCCTTGAACCCTCAACATGAAGAGCTATAGTGTTCTCTGTGTGTATATTAATAATATGTGAGTATATTGCTGTAAATTGTGTACCAACTGTTAGGGCTGGGACAAGTCCACATTTACTGCCTTGGTCCGCACCCCCAGTTACCCGATCTGACCCAGGTATCCGACCCCCAATCACCCAATCTGACCCAGGTACCAGACCCCCAATTACCTGATCTGACCCAGGTACCAGACCCCCAATCTGACCCAAGTACCAGACCCCCAATTACCTGATCTGACCCATGTACCAGACCCCCAATTACTGCTGATCTGACCCAAGTACCCGACCCTTACCTGATCTGACCCAGGTACCCGACCTCCAATCTGACCCCAATTACCTGATCTGACCCAGGTATCCGACCCCCAATCTGACCAAAGTACCCGACCCACAATTACCTGATCTGACCCAGGTATCCGAATCGCAATCTGACCCAAGTACCCGACCCACAATTACCTGATATGACCAAGGTATCCGAATCCCAATTATCTGATCCAACCTGAATACCCAACACCCCAATCTGACCCAAATACGTTCTCTATCCATCCGACCGAATCCAACTGGTACCGCACCCATATTACCCTATCTGACCAGGGTACCTGTTCTCTAATCACCCAACCCATCCCCTAATTACCCAATCCCCAATAACCCAACCCTAATCACCTAACCTGTCTCCAATCACACCCAGGTACCCAACCCCCCTATTACCTTATCCGACCTGGGTATCCACTGTAGGGCTCAAGCCTAAAGGTACAAAATGTTGATTGAGAATTGTTGTACCAGAACCGTGGCTAAAACAGTTGAGATAACACATGAAACGATCTGGTAATGCATACACTGTTCACAAAAGCTGATCTTTTTCCAGAAGGAATGAATGCATGCAAGGGGTGGTGGAATAGTCTAGTGGTTAAAGTGTTTGCTCGTCACACTGAAGACCCGGGTGCGATTCCCACATGGGTACAATGTGTGAAGCCCATTTCTGGTGTCCCCTGCTTAAAACTAAACTCACTCACTCACTCCAGGTGACCCTGATCTATTCGAGACCCACCCGAGTTACCTGTCCCAGCCCTATCTATTACGGACGAGAAGTTGAATTTTTGAATGTTTATCATTGAGTGCTGCCAACAGTTACCATGGTTACTGTTTGGAATGAATGTCGTCTCTGTTTTAATGTGCCATATAAATGTCCTCTCATCCTTGTTGATCGGTTTAGCAAATACAGATAGAACATTTTTAATATGTGTAGAAATATTTTAGGGAGATGATATTTTGCAATCAAGTTTTTATCAACGAATCTCAGTGATGTATGTCATGTTTGTGTCATTCAGGGGTTTAAAGATTTGGTGTCAAAATGATACTCATGTTTCAAGATTTCTCAGTGGTAAGAGGAACTAAAGGAATTAATTGATTCTATGAGGATTCCCCATTGATCTTACCTTGACAGGTTTCTATTTTAGGGGACTGCCATGGTGGTGTAGTGGTTACAGCGTCCACCGAGAGCGGAAGGTCGCGGGTTCGATTCCCGGCCGTGTCTTACCAAAAGACATTAAAATATGGTACTTGTTGGTCCCTGCCTGGCTCTTGGCATTAATGGGTACAACAAGGACTGGTTGGCTCAGAGTCGGTATAATGTGTCTGAGTGGGGTATTCATGCTTAACTGCGGCATGGTGTCTCAGTGGGCTAGCACTATAAAACCAGCTTCAGTCTGGGCTAGTACAAGCAGCCACACATACAGACGCATGCATGTCGCCAAATGAGCGAAATATTCTCAAGTGCGACGCTAAACCCAATTTCACCTCTCCTCACTTCTATTTTAGGGTTAAAAGATTTCTGAGCCAAGGCTACAATCAGAAATGAAATGAAAATATTCTATCTCTTAAAAATATCTCTCTCTTTTTAAAAAATTTACCTATGGCAACAGTTTTCTATTTGATGGTTTATACATTATTTATCCGTGGCAACAATCAGAAAAGAAACTAAAATATTATTTTTACAATGTGTTTTTTTAGACTTCCCTGACAGGCCATGTGTTCTAAAGGAAAGACAAAGGCGTATGCATAAAAAACTGTTCTATCATTTTGAGTGAAAAGTCAATTTGACCTTTAAGGGCTGGGGGAGGAAAAAGTGTCATGATCGGAAAATTACAAGTTATTGTTTTTTATGGTCTCACTATAATTTTATTTAAAATACTTTTCATGTTTTCTGCATTTTATTGAAGGGTCATGACAGATCCTGTAATCTTAGGTACTGCAATTCAAATTTGAATTTGAATCGGGGCGTTGGGGTAGCCTAGTGATTAAAGCGTTCCCTCATCACGCTTCGATTCCCCACATGGGTATATTGTGGGAAGCCCATGTTCATGTATTTCATATTGCTGGAATATTGCTAAAAGCGGCGTAAATCAATACTCACTCGAGTTTGATTCCCGATTAACCCTGAATGGTGGCACCACACTGATTATGTTTCAAGGTTTGTTAACGACATACTCTTGTGGGATTTACCAGAGTGGTAAACGTCCGAGCCCTGCGTCACTTTGGGTCCTGGTTCGACTTTGGCAAAATTGTTGATTGTTGTTTATTTCTTGTTTTACGGATCTGCCGGTCGTATTGTTTCAAGAATAAAGCCAGACCAATTTTATGTCTTGTTTTACGGATCCGCCGGTCATATTTTTTCAATAATAATAATAAATAAAATAAATCCATTTTACCTGCTCAAAAAATACAATCCTCATGTTTTTGTTGTAAAAAAATGTAAACTTACCCCCAAAAAATTTTTCATTGTTTTTTGGCCCATATGCACTGCATAAATTGCTCAAAATAAAATACTTTAGTATTCAAAAGGAAAATATGTTTGACCGGTGATTTTTATTTTTTTCCCTCCTGCCTTTAGGTTTTCTGATGACAAAAATCTGTAAAACAAGAAATAAAATTGGTCTGGCCTGAGAAAAAAATAATTAATAATTTTCCCACTCAAAATTAAAAAAAAATACTAATATTTTATTGGCCCAAACTGTAAACTCTAGATTGTTTTTTCCCCCATATACACTTCATAAGTTGCCAGAAGTAAAATACTTTTAGTATTTACAAGAATATTTCTTTGACTGGTGATTTTTTAAAATATTTCTTTCCCCTCCTACCTTTGTTTTTTCTGAGGATAAAAATCTGTAAAACAAGAAAAAAGATTTGTCAGGCCTTGTTGTAATTCAAACATCTTATCTCCAAGCCGGGTTCAGCTTTATTAACCCTTGAAACAGACACCAAATTTTTAGCCCCTTAATTATCTGTTTATGATCACGAGGGTGTGACCAACATTCAGTTGTGTGTCCAACTGCATGCATTGAGATTAAGGTAGTTCAATCTTTGACATTTTGCTCAAACTTCCAAGGGTTTGAGGATGTGTTATGTATAATTAGCAGATGATCAAAATGCAAGTCAAACTGACAATTTTGTCATTCGTTTCTATGGTTACTTGACTGGTGATTCATCTCAATGGCGACTTGTTACTGATGACAAGACAGTGAAAGCTTATGACCGATTTCTTTTTTGGCATGTGTGCTTTACTTGTCTTAGCCTGTGCTTCAAATGTGAAATAAACAAATTTACCAATATTTCTGTAGTTTGTCATGTCAAGGTCACAAAAAGATGCGCAGACCAAGAATCATGCAGAGACGAAATTGCAAGCCGACTGCTGGTCACGAAGCAAGTTGTTTTGGGAGTTCAGTACTACCACATTGCTCAAGATTAAAAGTTGTTTAACAAACTACAGTCCGTTTGAGTCAGAAAAGGACCGATGAATTGCACATTTTATCATTGCCAAAATTGCCACATACATATAAATAGTACACATGTTTATCATTTACTAATACCCAACAGCTTTCTTATATTTGAAAATTTTCCCGACTCCACCAAAAAAGTTGTTTAAGAAGCTATCATCATTGAAACCGCAAAAGTTGTTATCTGTCGCTGCGGGGTGAAACCGGAGAAACGGAACAGCCACTATCTCGTCGTGCACGGGATACACATGCCTGATTGAAAATGAAGTTGAATGCTGACGTGAAACAGTTGATGATTAAAGAGTACGATTTTTTTCCGTGCTGAAGCCGAAAGGGGCAAACCATTTTATGCCATTAATAAATTCCGTAAGCGGGCAGCAAAAGCTTTAGGAGTATCAGCAAGGGTACTGACAAATGTTCTGGAACACAAACATTGTGAGGGTGATGCGAAGCAGGTAGGGGTCGTATCAAAATCATACAAATTAAAACATTTGGACAACTTTCAAAAGAACCTTGTAAGGCAGTCTATCAACAAGCTCTATTCTGAAAACAAATACATGTCGCTGAAAATTTTAAAAAGCATTTGAAGCAAGAACACAACCTCAGAGTATCAAAGTACACACTCTGGCGACTCGTACACTCTTTCGGGTATCGTTATAAGAAAATTTCGGGGGAGAATAGGTCAGTACTGTGTGAACGCCCTGATATCGTTCGCTTGAGAAATAACTTTCTCAGGGTTATAAAGAAGCACGAGGAAGGGTTCGAGCCAGTGTACTTGGACGAGACCTGGGTCAATGCCTCGCACACTGCCAGCAGTCAGTGGGTTCCCGATGGGGGTGATAAGGGTCACGTAGAAAGCTGCCTCTAGGGAAAGGAGAGAGACTAATCATTCTCCATGCTGGTTGCTCCAGCAAAGGCTTTCTCCCAGGCTGCGACTTGGTATTCAGGGCAAAGTCCACAGATAACAGAGACTACCATTCCGAGATGAATGGTGCGGTTTTCCTCGATTGGGTTAAGAACAAGTTGGTACCAGCTCTACCAGATAAGTCTTTTATCGTAATGGACAATGCCCCATACCACAGCGTGCAGGACCCCGACAGTAAAGCCCCGACATCGAACAGTCGAAAAGGTGATATGATATCATGGCTCGACAAATTTCAGATCGCACGGCCTTCAAAGGCAACGAAGCCTCAGCTATATGAGATCATAAAAACCCACAAAGGTGAACCTTTCTACAAAGTTGACAGTTACATAAAAAGTAAGGGTCACGATATTCTGCGACTTCGACCCTATCACTGTGACCTTAACCCCATTGAAATGATATGGGGTATTGTCAAAGGAGATGTTGCCGGATCAAACACAACTTTTAGATTACGTGACGTAGAGGTTTTGTATAGGAATCCCTTAACAAAATCACGACTGAAACTTGGCAAAACTGTGTCAACAAGGTAGCTAACGTCATTGAACAAGGTTACTGGACTCGGGATGGCTTACAACAGGCAACTGTGGCACCACTTGTCATCCCTTTAATTCGTGACTATGACACTACGGCGGACGAGGAACCGACAGGTCTCCCGGAATAGATTTTGAGATGTCCCCCGCCATGACTGGCTGTTCCGTTTCTGCGGTTTCACCCCGCCACAACAGATAACAACTTTTGCGGTTTCAATGATGATGGTTTCTTAGACAACTTTTTTGGTGGAGTCGGGAAAATTTTCAAATATAAGAAAGCTGTTTCAGGAGTCAAGCTGCCAAACACAGTTACCCATCCAAGGACTCTCCGCGCTTGATGATGCTGAACTTCATCTGATTTTCTGACCTGGGCCCCGTTCCTCAAAGTGATCGTAGCGCAAAGTTGATTGTAACTCCCATACTTTAACATAGACTTACGACTGTTGTAGCGCTACGATCGCTTTGAGGAACAGGGCCCTGCACTCTATGCACAGGACCACACACTACCACGTTGGATACGATGATATATCAACCATGTGTTATCAAACCTGCCCATCCAATTTCTTATTAACATGGGTTGCTGAAGACCACTTCCAACCCGAATCTTCCAGGCTATGAGGGCACAGGTATGCTGCTGTCGTAAGTAGAAACCATGAGGTTGAACTCGAATTGCAAATCCTTCAATTGACCAAACTTTGCACTGCAGTCACCATGTTGTTTATGAACATGGTTCCTGCAAAAATATAACTCCAAAATATCTCGCCTGGAAATGGTTGAAATTTGACTTTTCTATTCAGTTAACTCCCTTGACAGGAAGATGGGTCAGAGTGAGATAACATTCCAGCAATATCGCCGCTGGGGAAACCAGAGTGAGATAATATTCCAGCAATATTGCCGCTGGGGAAACCAGAGTGAGATAACATTCCAGCAATATCGCCGCTGGGGAAACCAGAGTGAGATAACATTCCAGCAATATCGCCGCTGGGTAAACCAGAGTGAGATAATATTCCAGCAATATCGCCGCTGGGTAAACCAGAGAGATAATATTCCAGCAATATCGCCGCTGGGTAAACCAGAGTGAGATAATATTCCAGCAATATCACCGCTGGGGAAACCAGAGTGAGATAATATTCCAGCAATATCACCGCTGGGAAAACCAGAGTGAGATAATATTCCAGCAATATCACCGCTGGGTAAACCAGAGAGATAATATTCCAGCAATATCACCGCTGGGGAAACCAGAGTGAGATAATATTCCAGCAATATCACCGCTGGGGAAACCAGAGTGAGATAACATTCCAGCAATATCGCCGCTGGGGAAACCAGAGTGAGATAATATTCAGCAAACCAGAGATAACATTCCAGCAATATCGCCGGTGGGGAAACCAGAGAGATAATATTCCAGCAATATCGCTGCTGGGTAAACCAGAGAGATAATATTCCAGCAATATCGCCGCTGGGGAAACCAGATAAATAATATTCCAGCAATATCGCCGCTGGGGAAACCAGAGTGAGATAACATTCCAGCAATATCGCCGCTGGGGAAACCAGAGTGATAATATTCCAGCAATATCACCGCTGGGTAAACCAGAGTGAGATAACATTCCAGCAATATTGCCGCTGGGGAAACCAGAGAGATAATATTCCAGCAATATCACCGCTGGGTAAACCAGAGAGATAATATTCAAGCAATATCGCCGCTGGGGAAACCAGAGAGATAATATTCCAGCAATATCACCGCTGGGGAAACCAGAGTGAGATAATATTCCAGCAATATCGCCGCTGGGGAAACCAGAGTGAGATAACATTCCAGCAATATCGCCGCTGGGGAAACCAGAGTGAGATAATATTCCAGCAATATCACCACTGGGGAAACCAGAGTGAGATAACATTCCAGCAATATCGCCGCTGGGGAAACCAGAGTGAGATAACATTCCAGCAATATCGCCACTGGGGAAACCAGAGTGAGATAACATTCCAGCAATATCGCCGCTGGGGAAACCAGAGAGATAACATTCCAGCAATATCGCTGCTGGGAAACCAGAGTGAGATAACATTCCAGCAATATCGCCACTGGGGAAACCAGAGTGAGATAACATTCCAGCAATATCGCCGCTGGGGAAACCAGAGTTAGATAACATTCCAGCAATATCGCCGCTGGGGAAACCAGAGTGAGATAACATTCCAGCAATATCGCCGCTGGGGAAACCAGAGTGAGATAACATTCCAGCAATATCGCCGCTGGGGAAACCAGAGTGAGATAATATTCCAGCAATATCACAAACCAGAGTAGATAACGCCGCTGGGAAACCAGAGTGAGATAACATTCCAGCAATATCGCCGCTGGGGAAACCAGAGTGAGATAATATTCCAGCAATATCGCCGCTGGGGAAACCAGAGTGAGATAATATTCCAGCAATATCGCCGCTGGGGAAACCAGAGTGAGATAATATTCCAGCAATATCGCCGCTGGGGAAACCAGAGTGAGATAATATTCCAGCAATATCACCGCTGGGGAAACCAGAGTGAGATAATATTCCAGCAATATCGCCGCTGGGGAAACCAGAGCGAGTGAGTTCAGTTTTATGCCGCTTTTAGCAATATTCTAGCAATATCACGGCTGGGAACACAGAAATGAGCTTCACACATAATATCCACATGGGGAATTGAACACGGGTCTTCAGCGTGACGAGCGAACGCTTTAACCACTAGGCTACCCCACCGCACCTAAGATGGGTCAGAAAATCCAGTGATATGGGTAGCAGGGGTTCAAATATTTTTTAAAAAGCCACTTGACTTTAAGTAAGTAACTTGTCCTGACTTATTTTCCACTTGCCCTGATTTTATGACATAATTATGATGATGTAATTATGAAAGAAGAAATCAACATGGTATTTGATGTTAATGTTTACTGGACTATTTATTGAAAAGTGATAAATAGCAAAGAAAGATAACTCTACTTTATTATCATTGCGAAATTTAATAGCTACATTTTGAGCAGATATGAAATTAAATCCAAGTTCATTTGCAGTTTGAAACCATAAGTGGAAATTATCTAGTAGCCCACGGACAAGTAAGATACCATTATTTGATTGCCCGAAATGAAAACTGACTTGTCCCGGGCGTCGGGCAATGGAATTTTTGAACCCCTGGGTAGTGGCTGTTAGTGCCCCGGAGTGTGGCTGTTAGTATTTCATTGCATGCCATCTCTACAGTTCACCCCACCAATATAAACTCAAATCGTTCACAGCAAATGAACAACAAATTCAATATGTTTTCAAAATAAGTTTAATCATTTTCCTTCTTACATAATAATATAGTATTAATGATCGTAATAATGACAAGATGACATTGCAATGTCCGCTGTATGTAGAGACGTCCCCTCCCCTCCCTCACTACCTCTACCCGATGAAACTTGTGATGTATGTACAGTACAAGTGGAAGGTGACCGAAATGTAGCACTGATAATGTACACATAATACAATATGAACATGTTTCCATGGTGACCATAAGTCGGCTCCATGAATACAATATGAACATGTTTCCATGGTAACCGATAGGTCAGCTCCATGAATACAATATGATCATGTTTCCATGGTGACAGATAGGTCAGCTCCATGAATACAATATGAACATGTTGCCATGGTGACTGACAGGCAAGCACCATGAATACAATATGAACATGTTTCCATGGTGACTGACGCACCATGAATACAAAATGAATGTTGCCATGGTGACCGACAGGTCAGCGTCATGAATACAATATGAACATGTTTCCATGGTGACTGACAAGACAGCTCCACGAATCCATAATTATTTTCAAACAAGAACGTCCCTGCCTTCCCCTCGACGGACACCTGAATTGAATCACAAACCATACAGGAACACGTAATTGACTTTAAATTTCGAAACTCAGTTTCAAATGCACTTCAAATCCAATCACCACCTCCATACAGCTTTGCCTACCAAACTACACAATCCATACTACTAAAGCTAAGGCCTCGACTTCTCGGAACAAACTTAAGTCTGAGTTTCGACTTAAGTTAGAGCAAATTTGAGAAAATGCATTTCCCATGTTGAACTGAAATAGATATTAAACTCAAACACAGTAGACAATTGGGAGTTTGGTGGATAGATTACTTAAGTTATTTAGGCTTTTTTATTTTAAAAATGCAGGTGAGTTAAAAAATTCATCTGTTTCAAATTGTCAAACTCAGTTTGAAATTTGAGTAAAAACTTAAGTTTGTTTCGAGAAATCGGGGCCAGGAGTGCCTGATCGTTCCTTGTTACTGTCCTTTGTGTCCTTAACTTTCTCCAGTTGTAGACTTCAATGATGTCTGAGCATTGAAGAGATACTTCACATATTGTATCCATGTGGGGAATCGAACCAGAGTCTTCAGCGTAACGAGCAAACGCTTTAACCACTGGGCTACCCCACAGCCCCCTCCTCTTATAAATTATTCACAGACCTGTAGAATTTGGTGAAGAAACTGATTTACTTCTCTACAGAATCAGCATTTAATAGGAATCTATGCTAAGATAGAGGGTTTGCATTGGAAACGGAAGATTTTTACCAGTGAAGACTTCTCATTGGTCTCCGATTAAGTCGATGAACATCACACTTCTGAAGCATAAATAACAAATACTTGTCACCAGGATTTCCCGCGCAGAAAGTTTTCTTCGATAACAGTTTCTATTCCTACTTACAGATCACAAATATTATGAAAACTTAATATAACACCCTTCATGTCAAGTCTGTCAGCAAATATGATGGTACCACAAACTCCGAAGAAAAACCTGCAAGAAGTAGACCAATCAAAGTATTGTCGAAAAATGATTTCTTTGTTATCTATTCTAGCATGTTTTTCGAAATGGAAACTGCTACTTTCCAAACAGTATAGCCATGGAAAAGAACGATTACTTCTTTTACTAAACTGTTACATAGAACAATTCAAAGTTGAAATAAATCGATACAAGTTTAAGTGTTTGATTAGTAACACAAGGTACCATCTGAGGGTAAATAGAACTCAGACACTGTTGACAACGTAAGTGCGACATGCTAATAACGTTATATAAATCGGCTTCATATACAAAATAGAACTAGTGACACACAGCGGTGTTTAACTGGCCAGGGATCCTATCCACAACATATTCATACCACTGTGCCATTCATAAGTCTATGATAAAGTATAGAGTTACGATGGGTCGTAACGTTATGAAAGCTTTGTGCAGGGCTCCAGATTAGGGCCGTATGGGCGTATGTACGGATAAAAAATATGCACGATACGGTAGGAAATAATTTAGAAACAGTAGCAGATACGTAGCACAGCAATGGTGTACGGTCTTAGAATCATTTACAGACGTATTTATCTGAAAAAAGTATTGTTTTTTTACCTGTTTACACAAGAGGAGCAATGCTGTGGTGCATATATGAAACGAAACACAAGATCACATACTCCATTAAATTCCATTTAGTACTCCAAATGTACTCTTAAGTTTTTCCAGTAGTCCTATATTTAAAAAATAAGGAGTACGTACTCCTCATGTTGAAAAATTATCTGGAGCCCTGCTTTGTGGATCAGGACGCTGGACCTCACCAGTTTGGATTGACAATTCACCTGAACTCAATCCAGGTTGGATTGCATTCCTGTGGAAAATCCTGATGACAATATATCAGGTGATTCACAAATACGAAGTCAACAGGCCAGATTATATGAACGTAGCTACAAAAACGTTGCTATGTACTGCTCCGTATGACATCCATTTGTCGGAATACATAGCAGGCAAGCCCTCCTACATTAACACTTATACCGGAATCTTTATTTTCGGCTGACTTCACAAGCTCCATCAGAATGAAATCAAACTTATATTTTACATGTTAGTTCCTGAACTGATTGCCATATTAATTTCAAGAGTTATTTAATAGAAAATACATTTTAGTCCTAACTCACATTTTTGTTCTCCAAAATCTGTGAAAGCAATAAATGTAGGAATTGAATCACTTATGTTTCGCTTTTTATAACTTTCAACAAAATACATTTTCAAAGAACAATTAGTGTATTTTGTGAATCATTTGTAAAAAAGTAGATATTAAAATTAAAATAAAATGGTCTCCAGGGGGCGGTTGTACAAAACAACCTTAGTGCTAAGAGTATCATAGGTCTATGCTAAGGTATGGGAGTTACCGTCACCGTAGCGCTAAGATAATCGTAAGTCTATGCTAAGTTGTGGGAGTTACGGTCACCTTAGCGCCAAGACTGTCGTAAGTCTATGCTAAGGTATGGGAGTTGCGGTCACCTTAGCGCTAAGACTATCGTAAGTCTATGCTAAGTTGTGGGAGTTACGGTCACCTTAGCACTAAGACTATCGTAAGTCTATGCTAAGGAATGGGAGTTACGGACACCTTAGCGCTATGGTAAAATGTTCGACAGCACCCAGATCAGTCCGAGAATAACACGGAAGTTAATGCAGGAGAGTTTGTAGCTATGTATGTGACTACATCGGAAGGTGAAATGGACAGTACGTAGCTACGATATTTCAGCTAACGAGAATGCTGCCTTGGGTCACGTAACACGTACGCTATGAGGTAAAGGAACACCCTCATAACACAACATGCGGACTCGTGGAATATCTGCTGATCAGCTTCAGCGACGACCGACTCCTCCCCCTTGGAATATCTGGACACCATGAGCGTCCACCACAACATAACAATCATGATACACGCGACGTCAAACAGTGCCTTGTCACACACCCTTTAACATACGACAGCACATCTGTCGCAGTTGGAAAGGGTGTTGAACATCCATTTCCTCAGTGCGAACAAACAAGACGCCATTATTAACTGTAATCCATCCTGGATTTAATTTTCGAACCTCACGAGACAGAGTTGCTTTTAAGCATAAAAACGACTTTGTTGATTGCCTACAGCACTCAGCGACTTGAAACACAGGCAGTCTTGGTTGCATACAGGTCTCCGTGACTTGAAATGCAGGCAATCTTGGTTGCCTACAGCTCCTCTGTGACTTGAAATGCAGGCAAGTTTAGTTGTCTACAGCACAAAGTGACTTGATCGTTTCCATCAAAGCACCACGCTACCTCATAAGAACTCTCACATTATTGATTCAATTTTTCACATAGACCCCCACTCCTCCAACAGATTGTCAGTGTTTCTGCTGACAGAGCAGAGCTACCATCCCTCCGGGGGTTGACACAGGTTACTCGGGCGGGGGCTTCACCTGGGGGTAATAGTCGACGGAGTAGCGGTGATACTGGTAGTAGGGTGCCCGGTCGGGGTAGTAAGTCTTTGCACACGTGGTCTTGCAAGGTCGCATGTCCTCCCCTTTACCCATCATCCACTGCGACGACAATGTTTCCAGTTCGGGCGAGACGTTTTCCTTTCTCCATTTGTTTACCCAGATCATGAACTTTTCGTGTAGTTTTAGAGACACCCGTTTGTGAGACTGGAACAAAAGAAGCATTGGTTAGAAGATACACAAATTCACATTGTGAATGTATAATTTATTGCCATTGGATAAGAGCATTTATAGCTATTTGAGAGTTGCTTGAAGACACAGACAACATCATTCAAGCCAAAGGACGATAGTCTGCAAAATAAGGTCTGGACCAGACAATCCAGTGATTGACACAATGAGCAACAATCCACATTATTATGTACCATAGATTGCACAATTCCGGGTTCCAACAGTCCTTTTATCATGGGACCCTCTATTATCGCAGTAGTTAATGTTGTCGCCATCGGGATCATGAACGGCTACTGACATTTAGCATTTTATATATATTTCCAGTTGACTGATGTTTAATCTTCCTTTCTGTCACAAATAATGTGACACATAGTCGCAACCCGTTTAATACCATTGCGGCAATTCCGATTGTCTTGTTAGACCCGGAAATTGAAGCAACTCTCTATTATCGCGGACTGCTAATTTCTTACTATGGCACGCGGTACAAGCAGAGGACACTGTGAAACGATTACTAAGACAAGTAACGAATCTAAATAGTTTGATCATTAAAAATATTTAGGAATTTCATTCACATTAGTAATATCATCATGTTTTTAACCCAAACATCTGAAACTTCTATTCATTTGGATACAAGGTAACAATAACGTTACAAAATATTGTTTTTCCGCCTTAAAACGTACCATACAAGTTGCTGCCGTGTGTAGAGTGAAGTTGCACAATACGTCACTTCCTGTTATACTTTTAGCGCGGAAAATATGCAAATGAAACTTCCAATAGGTTTTGTTAGACTCAGTATAGCAGTGTAACGAATAATACTGAGTCTAAGTTTACTTAGACTGCCACTGACTGATCGATTGTTGTTTAACGATAACTATGACGACGTGGATGGTGATGATGATGGACTCAACAAGAGCGTCCATACCAGCTCTGTAAGATGCACAGATTATTTATTTATAATGTTTATGATGCGACTGCTGTTTTTCAGTACTTTATGTACCGTAAATGACTCTGTAAATAGCATGGGCATGCCTATATCTAGTATTCTACCATTTATTTGTAGAAGTCGTAAGGAATTTCAGTGTGATCGTAAGGTCGTAATTTAGCACCAAAAATAGTAAGCCTTACGCCAAAATCGTAAGGATAGGCAAGTCTGCAAAATCAAACAAAACCAGGCAGTTCTGAATGGAATTAATAAAAGCATAACAGAGATTCATTAAGACTAGTTATAAACTGAAGGAAGGCTTGATCCACATGAAGCCCCATCTCACCTCTCTTGCCCTCTGTAGAGCCATCCTTTTGTATAAGTAACTCTCGCTGTTGACGACGTAGACCATCTTGAATGAGTTGACGTTGAACTTGCAGCCCGTGCTGTCAAGGATGTCCATGTCCTCGGAGGCCTGGGCCTCAGTCCGTACTACCTCGTCCTTCTCTCGTTCCTTCTCCTTCTCCTCCTGTTCTTTCTCTCCTTTGTGCTTCTGGTTCTTGTTGTGTTGTCGGGTGTGACGCACGTTTCTGTGGGTGGAATGGGTTGAAAATTAGATCAAATTAGAATCCACACATGGTGTTCAAGCAATGGTCTGGGGACTTGTTCAGAAGCAGAATGTATGCCTGGAGACAAGCATGGTGTACTGGACACCTATTGAGACCTGGAATCAACACATGGAGACAAGCATGGGGTACTGGGGACCTATTGAGACCTGGAATCAACACATGGAGACAAGCATAGGGTACTGGGGACCTATTGAGTCCACACATAGAGACCAGCATGGGGTACTGGACACCTATTGAGACCTGGAATCCACACATGGAGACCAGCATGGGGTACTGGGGACCTACTCTGCTCTGGGATCCATAAAGGGTATTGGGGGACCGACTCTGACCCAAATTCCCAGATCCGCTCCAACAGCCTACCTTGGCAGGAATACTGGTTTCTTGGTGAGCTGCTCCTTGAGTTCGTCGGAGATGGTTTCATCCTGGGCCACATACTTCTCAACATACTCCGACCACCGTTCCACCTCCACTGGCTCGTCGGACTGGTCATGTTCTGTGTCCAGCAACTCCAGGGTCAGACGACAATCCTTCTTGTACTAAACAAACAAACAATCCAGGGTGAGACAGTCCGCATTATTTTTATTTTTGCGTTGGTTGTGTTAGTGAGTGTGTGAGTTTAGGTTTACGCCACACTCAGCAATATTCCAGCTATATGGCGGCGGTCTGTAAACAATCGAGTCTGGACCAGACAATCCAGTGATCAACAGCAATTGGAAACAGATGACGTGTCAACCAGGTCAGCGAGCCTGACCACCCGAGTCCGTTAGTCCCTCTTACGACAAGCATGGGTTACTAAAGATCAATATTCTAACCCGGACCTTCACGGGTCATCCAGAGTTAGAAAGTCCCCATTATTTTTATGAGTCCACAAAATTAATGTTACAGTTTGTTTTGTTTGCTGTTCAATAAGGCACTTAGGAATATTCCAGCTAAATGAGGCCAGTGAATAATCAAGTCTGGACCAGACAATACAGTGCTCAACAGCGTGAGCATCGGCCAACCAAGCTAGCGGGCCTGACCACCCAATCCCGTTAGTCGCTTCTTACGACAAGCATAGGCTGGTGAAGACCAATTCTAAACTGGAGTGAGTGAGTGAGTTTAGTTTTACGCTGCACTCAGCAATATTCCAGCTATATGGAGGCGGTCGGTAAATAATCGAGTCCGAAAAAGACAATCCAGTGATCAACAGCATGAGCATAGATCTGCGCAATTGGGAACCGATGACATGTGTCAACCAAGCCAGCGAGCCTGACCACCCGATCCCGTTAGTCACATCTTACAACAAGCATGGGTTACTGAAGGTTCATTCTAACTCCGACCTTCACAGTTTAATTCTAATATGGATCTTTACGGGTCAGACACAGGTGATACTTTGCAGCATCTAGTTTAAACCTCAAATACACATAACAATCTGAAACTTACGATGACAACTTTAAAACAGTTTTCTTCAGACAGAAACATCTCAGCTTTGCGCTGATAATTGGTTTCCGCCATTACTCGTTGGTGCTGTGTTGCTAGGCGACCACCTACAGCATTGTTCCGCTTCTCCTCCATGTAATGTTCTGTGACCTTCTGGATGGAATCGTCTGTCACAATGTGTTGTAGCTGGAAACGGAACACAAGGTGTACAGAATACGGAAAAGAGGGTTAACCCTGATTGACTGATGTCAAGGTGAGCATATGTTCTTGGTCTGTAGAAAACAGGATCTGCATGTACAGTCAGTGTCACTGTCCGTGTTTTCTTTGCTTGTAACTGGTATATAGCAACAGAAATATTAATGGGTTATAAACACATTATTTTTCTATAGTTCTCACATTTTTATTTTCCAAAACTATTCCTGGCCAGGGAAAACGAAACTAAATTTCTATGACTTTTCCATAATTCCATGAACTCACAATGTCTGTGCAAGGGAGACAACTGGCCAACAAAGTTTTGTGCAAGGGAGACCACTGACCAACAAGGTTCTATGGAAAGGATAACTGCATCTTGGCAAAATAAATGGGATAATGAAACTACAGGTAGACACATGTACTCTACTTGTCCTGTAGTAAACAATCATTTTAAAATTCGTCGGCGTTGTCGCAGAGATGAAGTTGTTTTAACTCGTCTCAGGCTGGGACATTGTGGATTAAAGGCATATAGAAGTATTTTAGATAAAGACCCATCTCCTCTGTGTGAAAGCTGTAACTTACACTGCCCAGAAACAGTTCAGCACTACCTCATTGAATGTCCAGCTCATGAAAACCCACGCAAGGCTCTTAAAGAAACTGTGCTTAACAAAACCCAAAATACTTTTTCAATGAACGCAATACTTGGCGATAATTTAATGTATGGTTGCATACAAAGAGCTGTTTTAGACTTCCTCGTTAAAACGGGTAAGTACGATGTAATTTAACTGAACAAAAATATAACAGTTTGTTCAGTGTTGGGCGCATATAGGCCTTTTAAGGCCCAAGGTCGCCCTAAAACCTTATCTACCTACCTACCTATGGAAACGAGACAACTGACCAACAAGGGTCTGTGCAAGGTTGACAAATGACCAACAAGGTTCTGTGCAAGGGAGACAACTGATCAACAAGGTTCTGTGCAAATTAGACAACTGACCTGTCTGACAATGTTCTGTACAAGCTTGTCCATGGTGAATGCAACGTAGGCGTGGATGCCGTACATCTCACGAAGCTGGTCCTCGTACTGTCCGGGATTCCATATTACCGTCCAGCAGGTTCTTGACCATCTCCAGGAAGTACTGATAGTAGTATTCTGGTTCCACTTCGACTGAAACAACATCAACACGACATGACACGTAACACTTGGAACAATGTTTTGTCAGCAATATGACAGTGGCCTTTTAATAAATTGGGAAAAACTAACAAACTAACAAAAGGGACCATTTCACCACCTGACCTATCTATGTGCCAAGTTTGGTGAAGAAACATTGAACGGTTTTAAAGTTCTGCTTCGGAAAAGAGCATGACCACCAATTTCAGTCAATGTCAAATTTATTGCAATGGAAACACAACAAATATTTTATTCAGAAATCCAAAACTACAAAGGACACCAGTTCACTACCAGACCTATCTATGTACCAAGTTTGGTGAAGAAATATTGAATGTTTTTTTTATGTTCTTCTCCATAAAACACGAATTTGCACGGACACAAAGTCCAACATAACACCCCCTGCAGAACCTATTGCAGGGGACAACAAGGCGAGGGACACCAGAAATAGGCTTCATACATTGTACCTATGTGGGTCTCAAACCCGGGTCTTCGACATAACGAGCGAACACTTTAACCACTAGGCTACCCCATCGCCCATTAGGACATGAATAAGCTGTGGGGGTTTGTACGTACATGGTGTTTTGAGGCGGAGTGCCGTGGAGGTCGAGTCCTTCCTTTCTTGCTGACAATGCTTCGACTCGTCAATGATACGCTGCGTGTTGGTGTAGATCCATGACAGCCTTTCACAGAGGATCTGATGCAGCCGCAGGAACAGATACCAGTTGTTGTTGACGAAGAACAGCGAATACATGTCATCCTGAAAACATCAACACTTCTCTTACCTTCATGTAAAATACTTTAATTTCATAAGTCAATGACGCTTTAACAATATAAGTTGTTCACTGGTCTCACGGGGGACATGGTCTCCCGAAGGGCGAGGGGAACATAAAGAAACATCGAGGGTACATCAACCCACTAGGCCCGGGGTACCAGTGAACAACGTATTTATCTTACCGAACACCTCAATGGTAATTTTGAACTGTTTGAAGCACGGGTATCGGATCATAGTATGGAGTACCAGATGACAAGAAAAACAATTTACAGTTATCTCCCTTCCATCGATTTGCATTCGCAAAACATCGATAATTTTCGTGATTCAATGTTATTTGAGATAAAGAATTACTACTACTAAGTACCAAATGAGTTCGGCATTCCAAGCGGGGTACATAGAAAATGTTACTTGCTTGTAAGCGGGGTACATTGAAAATAATAGAAAGGCGCTCAGCCAATCAGAAAACGACATTTATCTGTGAGGCAAGATAAGTTTCCGTGTCACCCCTCCCAGGAGGGTGACAACTGGAAGAAATATTACCAGCTGCCACTGTAACCAGCAAACTCTCCGCCAACTATTTTATACATTGAATCGTTTGCACACTCAACTTAAAACATAATTAACCAGTCTTAAAGCGATATTAAGCTTGTCAGAATGTTTCACTAATTCTAAAAATCCAGTCGAGAGGCAGAGGCCATTTTGTTTACATGCCATATCGTTGGTAGCGAGCTTATTGATCTTCAAAATAAAATAATATGATATTTTGTACATTTAACAAGGCAGTAAGCTAAATACGTTGTAAACTTCTACCTCGGGTAATACGATCTGATGTATGCGGTCAGGTGTCATCCTGGCCTACCGGCTCGGGTAACACTGATACAAAGAGGCTACATCAGACCATATTACCCTTGAGAGGGAAGCTTACAACCTACCATGTACAGTTCAACTCTTACATTCTGGAAATATCAACACATGTACAGTATTACCCTCGAGAGGGAAGCTTACAACCTACCATGTACAGTTCAACTCTTACATTCTGGAAATATCAACACATGTACAGTATTACCCTCGAGAGAAGCTTACAACCTACCATGTACAGTACAGCTCTTACATTCTGGAAATATCAACACATGTACAGTATTACCCTCGAGAGAAGCTTACAACCTACCATGTACAGTTCAACTCTTACATTCTGGAAATATCAACACATGTACAGTATTACCCTCGAGAGAAGCTTACAACCTACCATGTACAGTACAGCTCTTACATTCTGGAAATATCAACACATGTACAGTATTACCCTGGAGAGAAGCTTACAACCTACCATGTACAGTTCAACTCTTACATTCTGGAAATATCAACACATGTACAGTATTACCCTCGAGAGAAGCTTACAACCTACCATGTACAGTTCAACTCTTACATTCTGGAAATATCAACACATGTACAGTATTACCCTCGAGAGAAGCTTACAACCTACCATGTACAGTACAGCTCTTACATTCTGGAAATATCAACACATGTACAGTATTACCCTGGAGAGAAGCTTACAACCTACCATGTACAGTTCAACTCTTACATTCTGGAAATATCAACACATGTACAGTATTACCCTCGAGAGAAGCTTACAACCTACCATGTACAGTTCAACTCTTACATTCTGGAAATATCAACACATGTACAGTATTACCCTGGAGAGAAGCTTACAACCTACCATGTACAGTTCAGCTTTACATGTCATTCTGGATATATCAACACATGTACAGTTCAACTTATGGATGTCCTAAAAATGTCAAGTTCATTTCAACTTTCAAGGTTTTCATTTTCACAATGACATATTAACAGTAGTTTAACCAACCACGCAGAATGTTATGGTGAATATTCCTAACTAACTACCCAATTTTTAATCTTTGTTAATTCTTGACCACAAACGCTGTCGAGCAATCTAGATTAGTCAAGGGATTCCAGTGTAGTTGCAGAGCTCCAAATAAGATTTAGCTCATGTGGGTACTGTACCCACTGTATTTTTGGGAGTAGGTATTATGAATGTTGAGTGGGTATTTCATTTTCTGTAACCCACTGCTTTCAAATATTTCCGTATTTCAGTCACTTTACTCACCTAAGTATTACGTCATTGAGTAAGTTTACTAAGCAGGTATGTTCTGCCTTATGTCATACCTAATCAAAACCAACTTAACTATAATGGAAATTATTTCATAAAAAATCACTCATCCTATACTGACAGTACAACACTAGTCCTATACTAACAGTACAACTTGATAGCAATCGACGTCTTTTTCATTATGCAAGCGATTATTATAAATATATTCCGTACGCATTTGTTTTAAACTTTTTACGTATCTAACATTTTAAATGTGTAATTGGTACGCAACATGTAATTTTTGGAGTAAAATTGATATTTTATACTTATCCTGACTCATGCTCTTTTTGCTTGTCTTCTTCTTCTTGCGAACATAGTGGAACACTTGTATCTCCCTAATTGAAGCTCCCTTCAATTTAAAATCACTAATTAGTATTCACCACGAGTTACCTCCTTTTCACAAGCTCGGGAACGAGGGCGCCACCTCTACCCATGTGCCTCACTCTCTCCTCATATACTGAGCCCAACATTTGAATTTACAGGGAAATCCAAAGTGTTATTTGGGGAGGATGGGAGGGCTGACCTCATGAGTCAGGATAAGTATAAAATATCAATTTTACTCCAAAATTACATATTTTCCTTATCCTGACTCATGCTCTTTTTGTTTGTAGCATCCTACGGAACGGAGGTGGGAATATCTAATACTTTGGATTTTTAATAATTAGTGATTTGAACTGTGATGATTGTAATAACCCTATGGGAACTTCATAAAGGCACTGAACTGATGAATTCTGCTGCTAACTTATCAGCTGCCATATAAAAGGTTATTATCATGTACTTATTATGATAAAGTATATATAACATTAATACAATGCTTAAGACTAATAGACTTAAGCTTGTTAATATGCTAGTATAAACTCCTTAGAGTTTGTTAGCTAAAATACTTTAAGATATAAACATAGTACTAAGCTTAAGATATGATTAAACTTAAGCTAATTATATAAATATAGCAAACTCTTTAGAGTTTGTTAGTTAATATACTTATATGATATAGATATAATGCTGAGCTTAAGATATGAATAAGCTTTTAGCTACATATATAATAATAGCAAAAACTCTGTAGAGTTTGTTAGCTAATATATTTTTATAATATGAGTATAGTACTGTGCTTAAGCTATAATTAACTTAAGCTACATATATAATAGCCAAACTCTGTAGAGTTTGTTAGCTAATATATTTTTATAATATGAGTATAGTACTGTGCTTAAGCTATAATTAACTTAAGCTACATATATAATAGCCAAACTCTGTAGAGTTTGTTAGCTAATATATTTTTATAATATGAGTATAGTAGTGTGCTTAAGATATAATTAACTTAAGCTACATATATAATAGCAAAACTCCGTGAGAGTTTGTTAGCTAATATATTTTACAATATGAGTATAGTAGTGTGCTTAAGATATAATGAACTTAAGCTACATATATAATAGCAAAACTCCAGAGAGTTTGTTAGCTAATATATTTTACAATATGAGTATAGTATTGTGCTTAAGATATTATTAACTTAAGCTACATATATAATAGCCAAAAACTCTGTAGAGTTTATTAGCTAATATGTTTATAGTGTAACCATAGTACTAAGCTTAAGATAAGATTAGACTTAAGCTAAAAATGTATATAGCAAAATAAACTCCTTAGAGTTTATTAACTAATATACTTTTATGTTAAAAACATAGTACTGAGCTTAAGTTATGATGAAACTTAAGCTATATATATATAATAACAAAACTCACGAAGTTTTGTTAGCTAATACCTTTATAATGTAAACATACTGCTTAAGATATGATGAAACTTAAGCTAATTGTATAATAGCTAAAACAACCCTTTAGAGTTTGTTAGCTATGATATAAACCTAGTATTGAGCTTATGAAGGAAAACTTAAGCTACATATATAATAGCAAGAACTCCAGAGAGTTTGTTAGCTAATACATGTTATAATGTAACCATAAAGCTTAAAATATGATGAAACTTAAGTTTAAAATATATAATAGCAAAACCCTCTTTAGAGTTTTGATAGCTAATATACCTATATGATATAAACATAGTACTGCGCTTTAAGATATGAATAAGCTTGGTTACATATATAATAGCTAAAAACTCTGTAGAGTTTGTTAGCTAATACATGTTATAATATAACCATATTGCTTAGAAATATGATGATACTTATAGCAAAAAAACTCTTTAGAGTTTGTTAGCTAATCTACTTATATGATATAAACATAGTACTAAGCTTAAGATATGAATAAGCTTAAGCTACCTATATAATAGCAAAACTCCTTAGAGTTTGTTAGCCAATATATTTTAATAATATGAGTATAGTACTATGCTTAAGGTATAATTAGCTTAAGTTACCTATATAATAGTAAAACTCCAGAGTTTGTTAGCTTAATTAACTTAAGCTATGTATAAAATAGCCAAAAACTCTGTAGAGTTTGTTAGCTAATGCATTTATCATGTAACTTATAGTATTACTCTTAAAGATATGAATAACTTAAGGTAAATATATATAATAACAAACTCTGTAGAGTTGTTAACTTATATATTGTATGATGTAATAATCATAGTACTGTGATGATAAAAGGAACTTAAGTAAATTATACATAGCATGAAGCTATTTAGTATTGTTATAAGATAAGTAAAAATCTGTTAGATTGACTTATCTTCTCCGAAGAACTGTCAGCTGTTGTGCGAGGACCATGGGATCGAATTGGTGTATACCTGAGACGCCCTCGTGGTGATATCTCTCAGATAATGGTTTGCAACCACCATATCGGATTTCCAGAAATAACCCTCCATTATTTCAATCACATTTGTGTAGAACAATTGTAGAAGTTAGCTTATAATATCATGAGTATTAAGCTCATGGAGGGTCGAATAGGTCCATCCGCATATGCACGTAGTATGACAGTTCTGATCCAAATGGAGATATAGTACATGAGACTTCACTCTGCGTAGTTGATGATAGAGGAAATAATCTGTTGCATTTTTTCCTCCTGTTTGGTTTGGTGGAGATAAATTTACAGTGCTCTTGCTGGCCAACTTGATAGAATCATCGTATCATGGGGTCCAAGTATGTCATCCAGGCGTAGTTCATAAACCTCACTTGTGAGGTGTTGGAGCACTATATTCATATCCCCAGGTTACGTGAAATTTCCGCTTTATTCTCCAAACAGAAGTTTAGTAGGTTTACTAACCATCTAGTTGTGTTAGTCGCTTGATGAAATTCAGCTGTAGTCTGAAACGCCAGGATTTAGATCCACTTGTATCTTCGCTCTAGGTAATTCGCTCAAGCGGTCCTTTGATGCATGTAGGTGCACAACCAGGTGTGTCTGTCCTCGCTGAACTTTATGTAAAATCGCTTGACTGCCGACATCCCTCGCCTTAACTTGACAGGGGAATTATTTTTCAATGCGTAATTCTATGCGTATTTTACCCGGATACGCAGCTTATCTGGGCCTCTGTAGTTGATTGAACGAGTGAGAGTGGTTTTACGCCGCTTTTAGCACTATTCCAGCAATACCACGGCAGGGGACACCAGAAATGGGTTTCACATATAGTACCCATGTGGAGGATTGAACCCACATCTTTGGCGTGAAGAGCGAACGCATTAATTACTAGGCTACCCCACAAACCCCCAATGTAGTTGAAGTTAGAGTGTAGTATGATTGTTTCCCAATCCCTACCAAATTGAGAAAGTCTAGCACAAAGCTGGTTCTACCTCCAGTTCTAAATACTCACATCTAATCCATCAGCTTCATCGTATGCCATAGTTCCGTTGACCACAGGTTTCTTGGGTTGGTTCATCGAACTGTTCTCCATCATGGCCACGGGATCTTCCTTCCTGTCAGGAACAGGTCGATCTTTATCACTGCTGGAGTTGAAGTTCATGTCAAACCTGTGGACTTGATCGTTCCTGTCCCCTTCGTCCGTTTCCATGTCTGTAATCAAATAAATAATAATAACAAGAAGACAAAGTCATCAATATCCTCCGCGATGGCAAAATACTTTTCATGATTATGTCTACGAGTTATGATTATGTCAAATATTTAGGTGTGTATATAGAAAAGTGGAAGGAGAGTATTGAAAGGTTTTTAAAGTTCTGCTCCAGAAAGGAGCACTATCACCAATTTCAGTCTAAGTCAAACTTGTTGCCATGGGAATGCCAAAAATATTTTATTCAGAAATCCAAAACTACCAAAAGGCACCAGTACACCACCAGATCCATGTATGTGCCAAGTTTGGTGAAGAAATAGTGAATGGTTTTAGAGTTCTGTTCCGGAAAAGACAAATGTGCACGGACGGACGGAAGGACAGGACGCACGGAGTCCATTTTAATACCCCCCGCAAAACACTTTGCGGGGGATAATAATAACAGGGCATTTCGCTACACTATACAAAGAGTTCAGCACAGTTGGAAAGACATCAGGAGGAGGTAAGTTTTCAGTTTTGATCGGAAGCTAGAGAAGTCACTGGTGTTCCGGAGAGAGAGGAGAAGATCATTCCAGGCTGCTGAGGCTGCGTAGGCGAATGATCTGCTCTAGGAACAAGCAGAAGGTTTTTGTCCTGAGAACGAAGGGATCTAGCTGGTTTATATGGCATAATAAGAATGGAGAGATAAGAAGGAGCGCATCCAGACAGGCAGCGGTAGGTGAGGCAGAGGAGCTTGAAGCGGATCCGGTTCTCAATTGGAAGCCAATGAAGAGATTGAAGGATGGGAGAGATGTGGTCAAACTTCTTCGATCTAGTCACGACACGTGCAGCAGCATTTTGGATTCGTTGAAGTCTTTGGGTTTGTGATTTGTTTGCACCGGCTAGGAGTTACAATAGTCTAGGCGGGTCATTAAGTGGCATAAGGTGAGAGTTTTAACTTATTCATAAACTTATTCAGGACACAAAATAACGATAATCTTCATTATGAAATATTTAAATTTTTGTTACATTGATATAATGAGCCTTCCCCTTTGTAACTCAAAACTCACTGGCATAACACAGCTTTGTATCATTCCTTTGTATAACATAGAAACAATCAGGTTGAACAGGCCAAGGGAAAAGACGCTAACTCCACACACCAAAATACAGCGTGGTATGAGTGAGTTTAGTTTTTCACCACTGCGCGCATGGTATCTCAGCAATATTCAGCTTCAGCTATATGGCGGTCTGTAAATTAATCGAATCTGGACCAGAAACAATCCAGTGATCAACAGCATGAGCATCGATCTATGCAATTGGGATCATCGATGACATCCATGTCAACAGCAAGTCAGCAAGCCTGACATGTGTCAATGAAGTCCCGACCACCCGATCCGTCAGTTGCCTCTTACGACAAGCATGGGTTACTGAAGACCAATTCTAACCGGATCTTCACAGGTACAGCGTCTATGGTAACAGGTCCACCTGTGGATACCATTTTTTTATAGAACATGTAAAGTGTACATGTGCTGAAACTGACTGAGGATAGATTTTTCAGATGAAATATTTTTTACTTATTTGATACGTCAAATTCAAAGACAGGCGTTTTCTTAATTCGCAATCTGTCGGAATGTTGCACATGTCGGATGTTGCTGGCTCTCTTCTTATTTAAACAATGTTACTCCACACTTTACGCATTTCAAAATACCACAAACTACTTGGCAGATATTTGGCTGCAGAAGTTAAGTACTATTTCTCTTGAGTGCTCTCTCCTTACCATCTTCTCGGTCCATCTCATCATCACTGAGATCACCACGTGGCATGAAGAAGAGATCGGGAATGAAGTGTAGTAATAGCTGTTTAATCTGCTGCTTGTCCTCTTTGTGAATACCTGAAACATGGCGGAGCATTTACAAGATAAGTGTCTGACGATTAGTTCCATGACAACAACTGGCATCAGGGGAACATAGGGGAACTCAATACTGTTTCCATGACAACAATTAGTATCAGTAGGCATTATAGGGAACACCGTTTCCATGACAACAATCAGCATCAGTAGGCATTATGGGGACACTGTTTCCATGACAACAATTAGCATCAGTAGGCATCATGGTGGAACACTGTCACCATGACAACAATTAATGTAAGTTTTGAACACTGTTTCCAAGATGGCTATTAGTATCGGTATACAGAGGTGGAACACGGTTTCCATGACAACAATCAGAACGCATCAAGGTCGTCAAAATTAATTGCCAAAGACGTAAACAGTGGTTTATTTCTTCAAATAGAGGTCGATCATTTTCGATTCTTCATACAAGTAAAAACATCATGTTTTATTTAACTCTTAGAGATGGGTTTTAGCTGAAATCCATTGTCAACTTAGCGATGTGTACTAACAGCAATTCTCATTGGATAATTAGCTCAGCATCAACCAATCACGTTTGGCCTTATTTCAGTGCTCAAAACTGCTCGAGTTGGGGAGTCAAAACTACGTTCTGGCTGTGTGCAAATAATTTAAGTAGGTATTCAAATATTGAATCGAAATAGTGATAATTCGATTTTCGATGAACCGAACCGAATTGTTGCAGCCTTACCAGCCATATGAGGGCTATCTGGACCAGACACACGTGACTGATTAATGAACATCAACTCAACAGTTGGGGTACAATGAATGAGTGAGTGAGTTTAATGAACATTTACTCAACAGTTGGGGTACTCAGCAATATTCCAGTTTTACGCCCGCACTATATTACCTATATGGCGGCGGTCTGTAAATAATCGAGTCTGGACCAGACAATCCAGTGATCAACAGCATGAGCATCGATCTGCGCAATTGGGAACCGATGACATGTGTCAACCATGTCAGCGAGCCTGACCACCCGATCCCGTTAGTCGCCTCTTACGACAAGCATAGTTGCCTTTTGTGGCAAGCATGGGTTGCTGAAGACCTATTCTACCCCGGATCTTCACGGGTCTACAATGAATGACAATCAACAACCTATTGTCAGGGTTACCACACTTTTGTGAAAAGAAATTCCATGATTTTTCAGGACAAATATTGCTTTTTCCAGACACAACAATATATGTCCTAGGGTATAATGATACCTTTAAACATATATTACTGTGTCTGAAATAAGCTCTGGAGACAAGGGGCGCAAAACCCATCAAACATTGAATACATCTTATTGTTTAAAATTTTAGTACCACATGTATTAAGCAAGTATTCACATAAATGCAAACTAATCCCGATACACATGTAGTACTGTAAGATATACAGTTCTGTTAGATAAAAACTCCCCAAGATTATTCCATGATTTTCGTCCATTTTTTCAAATTCCATCATTTTTCCAAGACTGGAAAATGAGGTGTGAAATTTCCAGGTCTTAAGGGAACCCTGCTATTGTCCCTGACCAAGTTTGAGTAGTTTGTTGACAGAATGTTTGTCACTGGGGATCTATTCTAACCAGGAGTCCACTTGTGAACACCGAAATCACTCAAAGGTGACTACAGAGAATTTCAATCAAAGTGTTCCAATTTGACGAACCTGTTTGGCGTTTCATGTGGTGGATAACGAGATTGGCAGCATCATCAATCATGGATTTATCTTTATATGTATACGACAGATGTGCTCCCGTTGATTCCCCTGTCACCTCGGTTAACTGCTCCTGTCGCTGAAATGCACACAAAGTCACACCTTGTAAAACCCATAGTTGTTAATACTTGCTAGACTTGCATGAGAATTCACATCACCCCTTCAATGTTAGAATACAGCCATGTGGTGCTTCTTCAAGTCTGAGATCAAGGTTAAGACTAACATTAATTTACATATTCATATTAATATTCTCAGACTTGCTGCTATTTAATTTTCTCTTTAAAAAGTAGGAAAATCTGTATTTTCTGAACATCTTAGCGACATTTATTTGATAATTATTTGATCTCCACCAAGTGACCAAAACAGACAGAAAATGTAAACAGTAAACAAATAAGAAATACAGATAAAATACTTGAAAAAAATCACAGTATGTGCGGCATTTAACAACCAACAAACAAAATCTTACCTCATCGTATATAGTTTCAATTTCATTGAGCAGTGTTTTTGAACGTATTGCTTTCACGTCGTTCTGCTTGAAGTTTATTCCTTGGTGGTCCAGTGATTTGAGGTAGTACTTTTCATTCTGTTCACGCCAGATCTTGTTGAAGCCCCGCTGAGATTCACGCCACTCTTCTTCTTTCGCTTTTAATCTGATTGGACAAAACAGGTCATGTGACTTCAGTGCTCATGTGATTTCAACATGTGTCCCGACCAATCTCTTCAATACCAAACAAGCTACAGTATTTCCTCTAATAAGCACCGGACATCTAATAAGCGCTTGGGATAAAAGCAGTTCAACAATTTCAGTAATTACACCCAGTAAGCGCGAAAAGCGCCGGGACTCTAACAAGCACCGAGTCTGGAAGTCCATTGAAAAAATAAGCGCCCACGTGCTCATTAGAGGAAATACGGTATTTAGGTTTGTTGAGTAATGTATCACTTTCTTAGTGAGTGAGTGAGTGAGTATAATTTTACGCTGCTTTTAGCAATATTCCAGCAATATCACGTCGGGGGACACCAGAAATCGCCTTCACACATTGTACCCATGTGGGGAATCGAACCCGGGTCTTTGGCGTGACGAGCCGACGCTTTAACCACTAGGCTACCCCACCACCCCTTCTCACTTTCTTAACTGTCTGGGGTCTGGATGAACCAGTGATTGATATTGTGAGCATGGTCATTGGATATAATGAAATTCAATCAAGATCCTGACCATTCAATTCATTAGGACGTTCTTCCGAAGCATTGAAGCAAAGAATTTCTCACATACCTTCGTAAAACAAGCGGAACAGCCACCACAGGGTTTTTCTTCAGACCATCTATAATATCTGGCGCTTTATCTCCGTATATCCTGGAAAACAAATATATGACCATCAGGAAATAAGACAAAATAAACCAAAATATTTTCTGGACATACAAATGGTCTCAATAGTCATTTTTTAAATTATTATTATAATCTATTTATATAGCGCCGAGTTCCAGCTCGGCTGCTCACAAGCAGCTTTGTTTTTCCATCGATCATAGGATGTCAATCTCAACGGCACTTTGTATGATCAATCTCAACTCCCTGGGGATCATACAACTCTTGCAGCGAGTTAATGTGGCTTTCCCATCCTTACGGGGTACCCATTCACAGCTGGGTGGACTGGGACACATAGTCACAGTACTTTGTCCAAGTTTACTGCACGTTGCTGTACCCACAACTAGGTGTTTGCACGCATTCATGGATTCGTTCAAGTGCACAGGGTTGTGTACTGTACACTACAGGGATGGCAACAGGAAAATCTATTTTCAGCTGAAAACTTAATATTGTGTCATCGAGTTGAGGGTTTCTCAATGGATTTATATGATTCACAATTGAACAATTTGAAATAAAATCAGCGGAAAATTGCCATCCCTGACACTAGGAGTTGTGACAACACTGAAAGAGTTTGCACACAAAGTTGAATTCAAGATTTTTACACCCGGTCACAGTTGGACTCTATCCCGGCACCTCAAGCTCGCTGGATTACTAGCCTGGCGCCTCAGACAGCTCACCCACCACGCCCCCTTTCTTCTTCTGATCACAATGATTCACCAAGAAATCCCAACAAAATTGTCTTGGCAGGCAATTTGGGAAAAAGTATTATTTTGTCTGAGACCTGCCTTCCTTCAATTAAGATGTATCTAAATATTACATTCCATGTAATGATATGTGTAAGTAGACGTCATTAGCCTGATGTCAACGTGACACTAGGTGTGTCCTTCAAGCTGCAACATCATTACGGCAATAACAAGAATTGGGGAAGCAGAAAATTCCAAAATGATATTTGCTTGGGTCTGAATATCAGTTCTCCCGTGAGTGAGTGAGTTAGTAAGTGAGTAACAAGGATTGGGGAAGCAGGAAATTCCAAAATGATATTTGCTTGGGTCTGAATATCAGTTCTCCCGTGAGTGAGTGAGTAACAAGGATTGGGGAAGCAGAAAATTCCAAAATGATATTTGCTTGGGTCTGAATATCAGTTCTCCTGTTAGTGAGTGAGTGAGTGAGACGAATTTGGGAAGTAGGAAATTCCAAAATATTTGCTTTGGTCTGAATATCAGTTCTCCCGTGAGTGAGTGAGTGAGTGAGTCAGTGAGTGAGTGAGTGAGTGAGTGAGTGAGTGAGTGAGTGAGTGAGTGAGTGAGTGAGTGAGTGAGTGAGTGAGTGAGTGAGTGAGTGAGTGAGGTCTCCAAGGATTGTCAAGAAGGTGTTGTTAACCTCTCCAAGTCACAACATTGGTTATAACAATACAAAGTGAACTGAGAACACTATACTTGTATTTTCATTTAACTCTACAGTCTGCAATATTGCAGCATAATGATGGTGGTCTGGGAATGAGCAAGTCTGGACCAGCCAATCCAGCATCTGATATCAAAAGCACTGCTATGTACATGGGATACGATGACATGTATCAACTAAGTCCTTGAACCTGACCTCTCGATCCTGTTTGTTGCCTCTCACAAGAAACATTAGGTTGCTGAAAACCAATTCTAACCCCGATCTTCAAGGGTTATGTTAGCCTCTAACCCCGATCTTCAAGGGTTATGTTAGCCTCTAAGTAGGTCTACTGCTAATAGTGAGATCACTGACCGGTGTATTGCCTTCCGATGAAGTACTTCTGACGTCCCTCCTAGCGTGTTGTCCAGTCGGAACTTGGCAGCATCTTCTGGTGACATCCTTGTCAACTTCTTCTGCACCGCCTCCAGCACTCGTATGCACATCAAGTTGGTCTCGATCACAACGTCCAGCTGCAATACGAAACGCATAAGAATTTACATAGGATTTAAAAACTCCCAATGAACGCAGACATCATGCAAAATTTGTTGCAGTGATGTAGTAATAAAGTAAAGTTCAAGTCTGTATTTTGCCTAAATCCAAAATTTGCTTAAGGGCACAGGTCACAGGCTTGTTTGAACAAGAGGGTCCTCAGCTCACTTTGAAATATCTCAATCATTGATTTGCTGGATATTTGGTGGGAGTTCATTCCAGAGTGCAGGGCCTGCTTTGGCAAAACTCCAGTCACCGTAGAATGTTGTTCTTGTTTTGGGGACATTTAGTTGTTGAAAGGAAGCTGACCGCAGCGTTCACTTAGGTTGATATAGTATGACCAGAAATTATTGAGAATTTTAGGAATATGTTTTATTGGATTTCTAGTATAAACAACCTTGACCAGCTATCAAGTGCTTGGTTTCATTCAAGAGAGACAACTCCGTTAATCCTTTTTCATTAGTTTGTGAAGAGTTATCCCCCTTTGATTACTTCTTAGCAGACGACATTTTCAGTGATCCTCAGTATGGATGATTTAGAGAAGAGGAAGTTGATTTTAGAGTATTATAACAAGGACATCAGATCAGCTAAAGTGATTTCAAGTAGAACAGGCATCCCATTGTCCACTGTTTATCGTGTTTTGAAAAATATTGCAAATGGATATGGCATTGAGCACCAGGGAGGCGCAGGTAGGCCCAGAAAATTGACTGTCGGTGACAGGAGGCGGCTTGGTATTCTTGTTTCTAAAAACAAATGAAGGAGTTTAGAAAACTTAAGGCTGGATATGATTGATAGAGGAACTGTGGCTGTCTGTAAGGAGACAATTAGAACTGAGCTGCATGCAATGGGTTGGCAGAAAAGTCGAGGAATTCAATCACCGATCGTGAAACCTGAACAAAAGGAGCGAAGGTTGAACTGGTGCTTACAGCATAGAAATTTTAACTGGGACAATGTGATTTTCTCAGATGAAAGTTCTGTGTGGCTGTTTCCTAATACACTGAAATTCTGGACCAAACAAACTGAAAAACCTTTGTATCAGCGCCCAAAGTACAATCCGAAATTTAACGTGTGGGGTGGCATATCTGTGTAAGGGGCAACGCCTCTCTGTATTTGAAGGGAATATGAACAGTGAGCGGTACACAGATATTCTCGAGGGACATTTACTTCCATCTGCTCACGTGTTCTATGGAAATGTTTGGATTTTCCAGCAGGACAACGACCCAAAACATCGTTCAAAGCATTCACAGGCCTGGTTTCGGACCCAAAATAGGACATTATTAGATTGGCCAAGCTATAGCCCTGACCTAAATCCAATAGAAAATGTTTGGGGACTTATGAAGGAAAGTGTCAATAAGAAAAATCTGACAAATATTGCTGAAATGAAAGAAGAGGTGGTCCGATATTGGGACAGCATGGACCACGACTTTCTAACTTCTTTGATCAGTAGTATGCCCTGCCACATTGAAGCCTGCATTGCTGCCCATGGTGACTTGACAAAATACTAACTGTTCACCTGTCTTTGAATCTGGAGTTATGTTCTGCTAATATTCACATTTAATACTCGAGTAATGAGTGAAATTTTAAAAACAAATTACAATCTTAAATTCTCAATAATTTTTGGTTGTACTGTATCTTGTTATAAGCTGTTACAGATACAGAGGGGCTAGACCATGAAGAGCTTTAAACACGAACACCAGTAATTTGTAAACAATCTGATGGCAAATTGGAAGCCAGAGTAGGTCGTATAACATTGGCATAATATGCTCGTGTTTGCGTGTTCCACTTATCAATCTTGCCGCCGAGTTCTGTACCTTCCGAAGTTTGCTCAGGCATAGTTGGTTCGATCCATATAGCAGTGAATTACCGTAATCCAGCCGAGATGTCACAAAAGCATGGATGAGTATCCTGGTTGCCGCAATGCCGACTTACCGCCTGATTTGACTAATATTTTGTGGTGGTGGTAGTAAGCAACCTTGTTTGGTTTCATGTACAGTACAGCCTAGCCTGGAAAGAGAACTCACCTCAAACCGTTCATCTTCACAGCGGTAGATGTGTTCCTCGTATTGGGTTTTTCGTGACGTGACAAACGTTGAGTCTTCCGACCATGACGGAAATGACACCCAGGTGTCATTCAACACCTGAAACAACAAAACATTAACTTACGAAACACCACACTTTTATGTAAGCTGTGTACTTGCATAACACATGTAACATAAATCACTTAAGTTTCAATGAAATTACACGAATAAGTCAGAGATATTTTGCGAAGCTGGTGATATGAGATTTTGAGATGTGAGGTGAGGTGAAATGGGGTTTAACATTTTACTTAATAATATTTAGCTCATATGACGACATGCATGCGTGTGTATGTGTGGCTGCTTGTACTAGCCCAGACTGAAGCTGGTTTTATAGTGCCAGCCCACTGAGATACCATGCCGCAGTGAAGCATGAATACCCAACTCAGACACATGATACTGACTCCAAGCCGACCAGTCCTTGTCGTACCCATTAATGCCGAGCGCCAGACAGGGACCAACATGTACCATATTTTAATGTCTTTTGGTATGACGCGAGAGTCGACCTTCCCTTCCGCTCTCCGGGTGGACACTCTTACCATTACAACATGGAGGCGGTGTTTTGAGATGTACAAATGACTTCAGAAATTGCAGATGTTTGCTTGTTATTCAACGCTGCTCTCAGCACATTTCCAGTTATATGAATGCAGTCTGTAAGCGCGGACCAGAAAATCCAGTGATTGAAATCATGAGCATCAATCTACCCAATGATTCCAGATTATTTGAATATCACAATTAGATAATCATGGATGCAGTTCTGAATATTTGCTGCATTTATTTCTCATCCTGACACAGAGTCTTGACGTACCTCTCGACACAACGCCGTCCTACCAGAACACTTAGGTTGAGGGTAGCTCTTGGGTAAAGCTCGATAACTTGCTCCGTATCTTTTACACGTTGCAAAGTCTGAAACAAGGACATATTAGTTTGTCAGTATCCAGATCCATACAAGTACCATCAATGAAAAAAATACAGGGAATTATTCGGGACAATATTCAGCCCAAATTTGCAGGAAGCAAAAACTGAAAAATGAAAATCACACACATGCAAATTTCACGTCATACACCAAGCATCTTTCAAGAGCGATTACTGTACTGACTGACTGACTGAGGTTGGTTTTACGCCGCTTTTAGCAATATTCCAGCAACATCACAGCGGGGGACACCAGAAATGGGCATCACACATTGTACCCATGTGGGGATTCGAACCCGGGTCTTTGGCATGACAAGCCAACCCTTTAACCACAAGGCTACCCCACCGCCCCACGATTACAGTACAAACAACTACGGTAATAAGGAAATGCTAGCGGTGATGCACTCTCAAAACGTTCATTATTATCATATCAACATTGATTGACTCTGATATCTCCCAATTTGTTTTCAACCGAAATTTAAAATTGAAGTTCCCCTACTGTTTTTGAAGAGTATATTTCACTGCTTTGAGCAAGATACAGGTTTTTTTTTTTTAAATGCCCGGAGAAATTCCTGCTGGATTCCAAAACCACGAGTCTTTGGTAGTCATATCGAGAAAAAATGTACACTTAGAAATATTAGAGCTTCTGTTTTCTTCATTTCCGAGGTATTTTAGGTGAGGTGAGGTGAGGTGAAATTGGGTTTAACGTCATGCTTGAGAATATTTCGCTCATATGACGACGTGCATGCGTGTTTTTAGACTGAAGCTGGTTTTATAGTGCTAGCCCACTGAGATACCATGCCGCAGTGAAGCATAAATACCCCACTCAGACACATTATACTGACTCCGAGACAACCAGTCCTTGATGTACCCATTAATGCCGAGCGCCAGGCAGGGACCAACAAGTACCATATTTTAACATCTTTTGGTATGACGCGGTTGGGGATCGAACCCGCGACCTTCCGCTCTCCGGGCGGATGCTCTAACCACTACACCACGCAGAGATGGCAACAGGAAAATCAATTTTCAGCTGAAAACTTATTATTGTGTCATCAAATTTGGGGGTTGAGGGATTCAACAGATTTAGACGATTCACAGAATTGATCAATTTGAAACAAAATCAACGGAACTCCGCGGATCCGCGGAAAATTGCCATCCCTGACCATGGAGGCGGTTCCGAGGTATTTTAACACTGATCAAGAGTGAAGCATTTTCTCACCAATTTCCATAGCAAGTTCTCCACTGATTCTTTCCTTGGACGTCACTGCCTGCGGAATGCACTCAATGGTCCCGCCGGACTCCTTGTAACCGAGAAAGTCCTTGAACCATTTAAATAACTCTGGGAATTTGCTGAAACAAAACAATTCTTCACATAAAAGCAGAAGTAAACTACCCATATAATTAATCGTGTTGGTGATAAATGAATATTTTTAGAATTTGGCCTCCAGTATGGTTGTCAAGATTTCAATGAAAGTCAATAGGACAACAGCTTTACAATTTTTCCTAAGATGGGATATTGTAGGGTGAGTGAGTGAGTTTAGTTTTACGCTGCATTCAGCAATATTCCAGCTATATGGTGGTCTGTAAATAATCGAGTCTGGACCAGACAATCCAGTGATCAACAACATGAGCATCGATCTGCGCAACTGGGATATTGTAGGGAGATATAAGCTTGGAGCACTGCACATTCTGCTATTCATAGCAAATGGGAAATACTAAATCATCTGCATAGACTGGTTATTGAATAGTTTGTTAGTTTCACATTTATATAACTCGTCATACAGAAGTTGTAGATTGATTTATTGTGTCGCGAGCTTTGTTTCGTGATGCAATAGTGAGTGAGTGAGTTTAGATTTACGCCACAGTCCAGCTATATTGCGGCGGTCTATAAATAATCGAGTCTTGACCAGACAATCCAGTGATCAACAGCATGAGCATTGATCTACGCAATTGGGACACAATGGCACGTGTCAACCCAGTCAGCGAGCCTGACCACCCGATCCCGTTAGTTGCCTCTTATGACAAGCATGGGTTGCTGAAGATCAATTCTAACCCGGATCTTCACGGGTCTTGTGATGCAATACTGTATTGTCGTACAAAGAACATTGCCACAAAACGACAGTTGTTTATTTGTTGCTTCCCCCTGCACATAGCCAAATACACTCACTCTAACTGCTAAGTGACCGAGTGGGAGACCAGACAAACTGATGATTGACAGTGTTTGCGGTAACACAAAAACATGCGTGTTTCACGCAAATAAATCTATATTTCACCCACAATATTTTCTACCTGCGTGTTCTACACGCAAAGCTTTTTGTATTCTGGGTAGTTACATTTCTAAATGCCCCGGAGCCCCCTTGAGACCTCGCCACTTTGTGACTCGTGCATGCACCAGTGGTGCACACACACACAAGATTCCAAGGGCAATGCATATTTGTCTTACACTACCTGCACAGGTTACTGGGAACGATTCTACCAAGAAAACCTAAAGAGAAAGTATGTGAAACTTACCCCAGGAAATTCTGCACCAGCTGGACAACCTCCGACCTTGATATGACCTCTTGATTGAAGAGCACGAGACATCGGAGGAAATTATCATAAACCTCTTGATGCCGTAATGCCTTCCGCACCTGAAAACAACAATAACATGTCAGAATCAATTCAATTCTAACCCGGATCTCCATGGGTTGGTGTGATGAACAACAGGGAGAGTCCTATGGATATTCAACTTCTTTTTCATAATGTAAGGCCAGACCATTTTATTTCTTGTTTTACGGATTTTTGTCCTTTGAAAACCTAAAGGCAGGAGGGAAAAAAATAAAATAAAATCACCAGTCAAAGTAATATTCCTTCTGGCAATTTATGAAATATTTATGGGGAAAAAACAAAAAAACAACCAACCAAAAAGAATTTCTTATAAGTTTACATTTTTGGCCAATAAAAACATAAGGATTTATTTTTTGAGCGGGGAAAATTATTTTATATTTTTTTTCTTATTTCTTACAACAGACGGATCCGTAACACAAGAAATAAAATTGGTCTGGCCCAAGGGTCGTATTACATATTATATATGAGTAGAGTTTGTACAGTAACTTGATAGTTTTTACACAACTGATACAGTTGATGTACAAAGTGTGAAGGATGTTTACACAATAAAGATAAATGTTACACAAGCAGATATAACTAGGGAGTGTTTTATTGGGGGGGGGGGGAGAAAGAGAGAAACCAGTGGACAGACATCTTTGTACAATCCTCAAGCCTAAGCAAAACAACATTAATGCTTGCCAGGATATTGGTACATACCTTATCAAAGAAAGCAAACTCATTGAGGCTTCCATATTTCCCTGCCTCGGCTAGTGACACATCCTTTAAGTGACTGGTCTTTGGTTTCTGAAACAAGACACAAATACAGGACTTCAGTTAAGTGGGCAGCCGAATCAGTATTACTGACTGAGTTTAGTTTTACGCCGCCTATAGCAATATTCTAGCAATATCACGGCGGGGAACACCAGAAATGGGCTTAACACATTGTGACCATGTGGGGACACCAGGGTTTTCGGCGCAGTTCAGCTAACCACTAGGCTACCCCACATCCTTGAATCAGTATTAACCAACTAACGTCTTTCTCAGTAAAGTTCAGATCCTAGTACTATTATTGGGTTGAGTCCCATTCGTGATTCGAACCCACACCCTCAGAGTCAAGCACTTAATCGCCAGCACACAAAGTCAGCCATCTAACCCACTCAGCCAACACAGCTTCACTTTTACATTTGACCACTTTTGAAATGGCATTGTGTATTGCAATCAGAGAACCTTAGTTGTCAGAGAATGCACACATAAATGCCAACCTTGTTTCCTAAAATGTCATATACACTTCCCATGGTGGCTCAAACTGTTCCAAACCATCTCCGTGGTTAGAGCGTCCGGCCAGAGAGCGGAAGGTTGCGGGTTCAATCCTCAGCCATGTCATAACAAAACACGTTAAAATATGCTACTTGTTGGTCCTTGCCTGGCGCTCGGCATTAATGGGTACAACAAGGACTGGTCGGCTCAGAGTCAGTATAATGTGTCTGAGTAGGGTATTCATGCTTCACTGCGGCATGGTATCCCAGTGGGCTAGCACTTAAAACCAGCTTCAGTCTGGGCTAGTACAAGCAGCCGCACATACATACACACGCATGCATGCATGTCGTCATATGAGCGAAATATTCTCAAGCACGATGTTAAACCCAATTTCACCTCACCTCAAACAGTTCCAGACAACAAATCTATCTGGCAATAAAGTGTTACAGTTGTGGTTAGCAATATTATTCAAACTAAACACAGTAAAAGCTGCGACTAAAATATCATGATTTTGGAATACATGTCAATTGTTAAAATGACAGTTTCAGATAGAGTTTCCAATCATTTTCCATTGTGGGTCATTTTTTTCACAGAATGACTGGTAGATTTGGGCAACATTACGAGTACAACTGATTGCTTAGTTTACGATTATAATCTCAGCATGTAACATACTCAATTGAAAGGATTAAAAATAATTATTGATTGTAAAAAACATATTTTCGATTAATCGAAACTTTGTTATTTTTGCATAACACTTGAATGAAGTAAACTAACCATTAAATTTGACGAATATTCACAAACAAACATGCGCTCAACAGCATAAAGCTATGTGCATTGTAGTTGTAGTTTCATATTCATCACTACCGTAAATATTACTGTAACCTGTCTATGAATAGATTTTGCATCTATTGTGAATGTAATGAGATGTACTGATAAAAATTTGATATATAAATAAACAGAATAATTACATGTACATCAACATTAATAAGAAAAAACCCTGGGTAAAACCCTTAAAATTGATGATTACATTAAAAACGTATTTATTTCGATGATAGTCAACTACCCTTCACCACAAGTCCTCCGATAATCAACAGTGGATTTGGTTTCCGATTCCCAACACTATTGGCGAGTATGCATTTCAATTGTATCAGTTCATTGTTTTCTATTAAAAATGGAGGATAATTTCAAACTCAGTAGTTTCCCTTTCACAGCAGTACTTCTGAAATCTGGATTTTAAAGGGAGATAATCATATGTATTATCAATGTGGCATGCCACTAGCCAGCAAGTTGGACTCCAAATCCTAACTACAGGGATGAGAATGAAGTTTTGAGAAAAATCGAGGCCAAATTATACGGATTTAGACAATTCACAAAAATGACCCTTGGCCTTATGAGATTCCCGGAATTCCGTGGAAAATTCTCATCCCTGTAACTATGTTATGTTCCAGTTATATGACTGTGACCAGAAAATAATTCAGTCTGGATCAGGAAACCAGTGATTGATATTGTGAACAATAACAAATATGAATCAAATACCATGCACAAAATTAATGACCTCCCTCCCCTTTTCCATAATTTTTTATAGCATGGCATTTTAATAATTTTATGTACCAAACTGATGACCTTCCCTATCTCCCCCGAACAAAATGGGCGAAATCCCCCCCACACACACACCTTAAAATCATCATCACCCCTTAAAATCATTGCACTCACTTACTCACCCATACCAACCAACCAAACAACCAACCAACCAACAATAAATATAATGAGCGGTCCCTCACCTGGATTACATGGATCCCCGGGGATAGGTTAATATTTCAAGAGTGATGTAAGCCGCAATGTTCCTACCTTGGCTGGGGGTACGGAGCCTGATTGAGGACGCTTTATCTGACTCGTCTTCCCCGACTGGTTCTTGTTATTGAAACCTGGCTTCTTCACGGCTGAAGCATGGTCATTGCGGATACTGAACGCTGAATCATTCTGAAAAAAATTGTCACCACACTGAAACAAACAGACAAACATTGAAGACAACTGCATGCATTTTATTATTAAAATATTAACTAGGGTTCGTACAGATTATCAGTCATCAATTTAAGGACTTTTTAAGGTTTTCAAGGCCCACCAGTCAACAATTTTAAAGAACTATACAAATACATGCAGGGACCAAGCAGGTGCTTCAACACATACGAAGTTTCCCACATCAGTGTTTGACTGAACATTGTCTCTTGTTGAACATCCCTAAAAAGTCATGCAATTTTAAACTTTTTCTGTTCCAAATGGCTAGAGTTCTGTCACATTTGATGTTCCAAACAGCATTCTGTCATTTCAGCATGTGTAAAGGAATGGTATGTTGTGGGGCCTTCACTCTAAATTTTTCAAGCCCGTGGAAACTGTTTCAATTTTAAAGGGATTCAGGCAGATGTGGTTCATGGACAAATTTCATTGACAATAGAAGGGAGGTAACTCTGTGAGTACATTATTACAAGAGATTTCCAATAAAGTTTTGACAGATTTCAACACGTTTTCTTTTCCACTGGTTTAATATCATTATGGAGACTTTGTACCGTTATCAAGTTGACTGCAATGTCGCCATATAGGTATTAAAGACGTTGCAACCATACAACTGTTACTTTATATTGAAGTTCTATTCTAGACAGGATTCGAATTCAAGACCCATTTGAGAGACAACAAAAATTCAACCATTTAAGATACATTTAAAACTTCATGGCCTTTTCAAGGCAGGATTCAAATTTAAGACTCATTTAAGAGACACTTCAAAATTCACCCATTTAAGAGACAATTCAAAACTCAATGCCCATTCAAGAAAATATTTCAATTCAAGGCCCATTCAAGAAAAGGTTTCAATTTCAAGGTCCATTCAACCATAACAATACTACCCAAATGTGAAACTTAAAGACTCTCCAGCTCAGCTTAGTTCAATCAATCAATCTTTATTCATACTGAAGGCCACAGGCCCATAGTACACAATATCATAGAAAAGAATAAAAATAGTCAAATCACAATATGTCATATCGCATCAAAATGTATCACCTCATATAACATCACATTAAACATACTTTGTCATATCACATCATATCATAACACCCCATATTACATCATGTCATATCATACCATGTATCATATCATATCATATCATATCGCACCACATCATACCATATCGTAACAAATAACAATATGAGTACATACATTCTATGAATTATTAAGTTTATTTCTTAGAGACAATGCTTGATAGATAAAGGTTGACAACTTACAGATAAGAACATTGTCATCAGTACTCATTAACAAAGAAAATTTCACCCTATCGGGATATACAGAATAATATCAGCTTAGTTCCGAACACTGTGACTAGCGAAAGGCAGAACATAGAGAGATAAAGAAAAGAAATACTTACACTGACATAGGCAGCCAGATAGGACGATGATCCGTTGGCATCAGGCAAGAACTGTCCGAACTCTGCCAAAAGGTCCTCCTGGTTCTGGAACAGCTTGGCCACTTGGGAGTAAACCTCCGCCTCCGTCAGTGGCTTGTAACCGGGGGGAACCAAACCCTGCAACACAAAAACAGTGCTAAAACATTCAGAGGTGCCTTCCTGCCCCACAGGGGCGTAGGGGTAGCCTGATGGTTAAAGCGTTTGCTTGTCATGCCGAAGACCCAGGTTCGATTCCCCACATGGGTACAATGAGTGAAGCTCATTTCTGGTGTGCCCAGCCGTGATATTGCTGGAATATTGCTAAAAGCGGCGTGAAACCAAACTCACTCACTCTCTCCTGCCCCACAACGAGGCACACGTGTTACATGTGGTCTCACCTTAGACAAGTGAGTTTGTTCAAAATTGCCTCTGTTCACCCAGCAGAAAATGGGTACCCGGTGAGATAAGTGTGACTATTAACCTTCTAGTGCCTCACAGCTTGGGTTATCCAGGGTAATGATAATCAGTTTGTTATTACAGCATCCAGTGAGCAACTAGTCAGATGGATACTGAGTGAGTGTGTTTAGTTTTACGCCGCACCCAGCAATATTCCAGCTATATGGCTGCCGTCTGTAAGTAATCGAGTCTGGACCAGACAATCCAGTGATCAACAGCATGAGCATCGATCTGCATAATTGGGAACCGATGACATGTGTCAACAAGTCAGGGAGTCTGACCACCCTATCACGTTAGTCGCCTCTTACGACAAGCATGGGTTGATGAAGGCTCATTCTAACCCGGACCTTCACGGGTAACAGATGGATACTAGCGCTATTTAAATAAATTGTTATTATTATTCCTAAATAGCTCTCAGCATCATTTTCAGTCTATTTTAGCACTGTTAAGGGACCATCAGAGCTCCAGATAAGATTTAGCTCATGTGGGTACTGTACCCAGTTTTTTGGAGTGGGTATTATGAATGTTGAGTGGGTATTTCATTTTCCGTTACCCACTGCTTTCAAATATGTGCGTGTTTCAGTCATTTTACTCACCTAAGTATTATGTCATTGAGTAAGTTTACTTAGCAGGTATTTTCTGCCTTATGTCATACCTAATCAAAACTAACTTAAATATAATGGAAATGATTTCATAAAAAATCACTCATCCTATACTGACAGTACAACACTTGTCCTATACTAACAGTACAAGTTGATAGCAATCGATGTCTTTTTCATTACGCAAGTGATTATTATAAATATATTCCGTACGCATTTGTTTTAAACTTTTTGCGTATTTAACATTTTAAACGCTTTATTGGTATACAACAATTATTTTTCAATGCGTAATTGGAAATTTTCTATGCGTATTTTACCCGGATACGCAGCTTATCTGGGCCTCTGGACCATTATCTGAGCGTATTGGCCAGAATGGAATGTTGCTGGGACTGGATTGGGACTTGACAGCAGCAAATGGGTTACTAAGACAGAATGGGGATATAAGCACTGAACAATCAAAGATCACATCTCCACAAGTTTACTAGCTACTAGTCTTACTATCCTGAACAGTCAAGGTTGTCAGAGCTAGTTGCCTTCTGCACATGTGCACTACCTACTAGTCTTACTATCCTGAACAACGAAGTATGACAGGACTAGTCGCCTTCTTCCACAAGTTCACTAGCTACTAGTCTTACTATCCTGAACAGTCAAGGTTGTCAGAGCTAGTTGCCTTCTGCACATGTGCACTACCTACTAGTCTTACTATCCTGAACAACGAAGTATGACAGGATTAGTCGCCTTCTTCCACAAGTTTACTAGCTACTAGTCTGACTATCCTGAACAGTCAAGGTTGTCAGAGCTAGTTGCCTTCTTCCACCAATATACAAACTACTTGTCTAGTTGTCTTCTTCCACATATTAACTAGCTACTAGTCTTGACTATCCAGGAGAACCAACTAGCTACTAGTCTAGACTATCCAGGAGAACCAACTAGCTACTAGTCTTGACTATCCAGGAGAACCAACTAGCTACTAGTCTTGACTATCCAGGAGAACCAACTAGCTACTAGTCTTGACTATCCAGGAGAACCAACTAGCTACTAGTCCTGACTATCCAGGAGAACCAACTAGCTACTAGTCTAGACTATCCAGGAGAACCAACTAGCTACTAGTCTTGACTATCCAGGAGAACCAACTAGCTACTAGTCTAGACTATCCAGAACCAACTAGCTACTAGTCTTGACTATCCAGGAGAACCAACTAGCTACTAGTCTTGACTATCCAGGAGAACCAACTAGCTACTAGTCTTGACTATCCAGGAGAACCAACTAGCTACTAGTCTTGACTATCCAGGAGAACCAACTGGCTACTAGTCTTGACTCTCCAGGAGAACCAACTGGCTACTAGTCTTGACTCTCCAGGAGAACCAACTAGCTACTAGTCTTGACTCTCCAGGAGAACCAACTAGCTACTAGTCTAGACTATCCAGGAGAACCAACTAGCTACTAGTCTAGACTATCCAGGAGAACCAACTAGCTACTAGTCTTGACTATCCAGGAGAACCAACTAGCTACTAGTCTTGACTATCCAGGAGAACCAACTAGCTACTAGTCTTGACTATCCAGGAGAACCAACTAGCTACTAGTCCTGACTATCCAGGAGAACCAACTAGCTACTAGTCCTGACTCTCCAGGAGAACCAACTAGCTACTAGTCTAGACTCTCCAGGAGAACCAACTAGCTACTAGTCTTGACTATCCAGGAGAACCAACTAGCTACTAGTCTTGACTATCCAGGAGAACTATCCAGGAGAACCAACTAGCTACTAGTCTTGACTATCCAGGAGAACCAACTAGCTACTAGTCCTGACTATCCAGGAGAACCAACTAGCTACTAGTCTTGACTATCCAGGAGAACCAACTAGCTACTAGTCTTGACTATCCAGGAGAACCAACTAGCTACTAGTCTTGACTATCCAGGAGAACCAACTAGCTACTAGTCCTGACTATCCAGGAGAACCAACTAGCTACTAGTCTTGACTATCCAGGAGAACCAACTAGCTACTAGTCCTGACTATCCAGGAGAACCAACTAGCTACTAGTCTTGACTATCCAGGAGAACCAACTAGCTACTAGTCTTGACTATCCAGGAGAACCAACTAGCTACTAGTCTTGACTATCCAGGAGAACCATACCTGAAATGATCCCACTTCCTTCAGATTCCTCTGTTCCTTCTGGTAAGTGTGAAGAATCTCCAGGAACTGTTTGTAGATCTCGGGTTGTCCTTGGAAACGATTCTGAAATAAACAATTTTCATTTCCATTTTTGAATTTTGCAAAAGTGTATGTAACGCAACCAACCAGGTCAGTAAGCCTGCCTTCCAATCCATTTGGTCAACACAATTTGTTTTGGACCTTTCCTAAATTTATCATCAAAACTGTGTTCCACAGGAGATATTGCTTGTGTGAGATCAAATGACATAACCTAGGAGATATCACTTTGACAGTAGATTTTGCACAAGCCCCTAACAGTGCTATGATGTCATGAACTTGATGACGCCACAATGCTATGGCATCGCTGCACTTCAAGTCTAATGGCAGTACTGTGTTCAGAAATGTACATATTTCATTGAAAACTAATGAAGAGTGATTTTGGATGATAAATAGAATCTAACCCTTGTGTCTTCTGATATCAAATATATCAACACTCGTTGATAAAAGTTAAAATATTTGTAACTTTATCAACTTTCGGCGATATAATTGATATCAAAAGACACTTGGGTGATATTCTCTGTTTCCATATTTCCAATAGTTTTTTCTGCCAGAGCAATAACCACATGTCTATGGAACTGAATTATTAGGTCACAAAACAATGATGAACATACTGCCCCACCAGAGTTATCTCACCTTGATCTTATTGACGTAGTTGATGGCGTGGTTGAACTCCACTGGTTGACTGGCTTGCTGCTGTTGCTGCTGCTGCTGCTGGGGTGTTGGAGGGTTATGGGGAGGTTGGGGAGGGGGTGGGGCAGCTGGTGTAGGCTCCGGGTTCTGCCGGGGTGACTGGTGGTAGGAATGGTGTGAGGGGGGAGGGTTGTGACTAGCCGGGGGAGTGGGGACGTGAGGTTGGGGTTTCTGAAACAGACGACAAATGAGGTTGTCATACCCCCCAAAAATGTGGAGTTACCATGGTTATGTCAGTTCTCTTATGATATTGCATTGTCAATTTGGTGCACAGGAGATAATACAATATTTTGTGAGGATCAACTTTATGTAATACCCTCCTGTCTTCATACTAAATCAACAAAAATATGACACTTTTTTCAAAATCAAAACAGACCTGTTTAATTTCTTATTTTATACATGAGCCTACACATATATATACTTTTTTTAGTGACAGAATGCAAATCATTATATTCATAAGAATATAAATATTCCAAACTAATATGAAATTAAGAAAGGTCTGATACTTTACGGATGAGAATTTTTTTTATCATGTCATAATGCGACAACTCGTGCTCCACAGTACACAGCAGTATCATCTTAATATAATAAAGCAGTTGTCATCCATACAGTTTGCAACTGAAATGCCAATCAAAAAGATCATACCACGGAAATTAAAAGGAAGATATGCCTCATTTGCATATATTCCAAGGAAGAAGTGAAAAAATGAAAAAATGAACTTGTTTCATTAGAAATTCCAAAGCAAAATGGCAAAATCTATGCCAAAACCTTTGTTTTTTTAGAAGTGACAGCATTTTCCCACGTTAAAATCACAGTAGAAATAGTCACATTTGCATATAGCCCACAAAAGAAATAAAGAAAATGATCTTGTTTCATTAAGAATTTCAAAGCAATAGCAAAATGAATGCCAAAACCTTTGTTTGTTTTTTAAAGTGACAGCATTTTTTGACAGTGGTAAATATCAAAGGATCAAAGAAAGGTGTAATGAAGAAATAAAGAAAATGATCTTGTTTCATTCAGAATTCCAAAGCAATGGCAAAATGAATGCCAAAACATTTGGTTTTTGGAAGTGACAGCATTTTGGGACAGTAGAAAGTATCAAAGGATCAAAGAATAGTATAATGTTCAATATATCGGTGTTCCACAGTAACATATACGAGATACATATGGTGGTAACCGATATACCGGTAGTACCTCCATTGGGCGGCAACTTGCCAATGTTGAAAACAAGTCAGTCAGACTCACAGGGGTGGAGGAGGTTGATGGAGATTGGGCGTGGTCGCCGAGACCACCTGGGAGATGGAGACCACCTGTTGGCCGGGCTGATGGACATTAATGGTCTCAGACTGGACCTCGATTTTGTAGCCCGGAGGCAGGAACGTGTTGAAGCCGACAATTAGGTCAGGATGACCTTTAAACAAGTTGGACACTCGATTGATGACCCCAGGTGTGTCAATTCTGAAAAAGAAATTATTCAGGTGTTAATATTATCAATATAAACCTCATTACTCAACATAGTAAGCTGTTTGACTTTGTTAATTCAGGTGCCTGCAAATATTGGTACTTGACAAACTAGTGATGGAAGTCATGAGCAAATGTTTTTTTTGCCATATTTAGTTTTTGCCAACTATATGGCAGCAGTCTGCAAATAACTGATTCCGGACCAAACAATCCAGTGATCAACATCAGGAGCATCAATCTACGCAACTGGGATACAATGACAAAAATACAACCAAGTCAGCGAGCCTGACCAGACAATCCAGTGATCATCAGCATGATCATCAATCTACGCAATTGGGATACGATGACAGGAGTTGAAGTCAGCGAGCCTGAACACCCAACCCCATTAGTCGCCTCTTACAACAAGCATGAAGTCCAATTCTAACCCAGATCATTCAGTTTGTTATGAAGTAATGTATTGACTGACTGACTGAGTTTGGTTTTACGCTGCTTTTAGCAATATTCCAGCAACATCACAACAGGGGGGACACCAGAAATGGGCTTCACACATTGTTCCCATGTGGGGATTCGAACCCGGGTCTTTGGCATGACGAGCCAACGCTTTGACCACTAGGCTACCCCGCTGCCCCAAGTAATGTATTGAGCTCAACTCACGTTTGAGACTTAAACTCCTTCATGATGTCCAGGAAGTCGTTGTACACCTGGGGCTGGTTGCCAAACTGTAGTTTGACCTGGTCCAGGTACGACAGCGCATCCTCCACCTTGAGGCGCTGGAACTGCTGCTGCTGACCTTGAACTGCCGCGGAGTGTGTCTGGAAATAATCAACCCATGAATGACACTCAATTCATTTAAAGAACTTGCCTTAGAGTGAGAGAGAGATAGAGAGACATCAGAAATGGGCTTCACACATTGTACCCATGTGCAGTGTTCACGAATGGTGTTTCAAAGTAACAGGACATTGCGTCCCGTAAGTTTCAGAGGTCTGTCTGACCCACTGAAAATTCACAGGACCCATAGAATAAAAATTAAACACACATTTCAGATTTAACACTTCTTATAAGTGGCACTGAAATTATTAACAAACGTAAAATTTGTAAACAGCAAACAAGTGTGATGTGTCACATACGACAACTTCAGTCAAAGTCATTGTGAAATATATAGTCTGACACTGGGGCCGGCAGGTGATAGACTTCCACCGGACCATCGGCGAATCTGCCGGATTTGTCAGAGGGTCAGACGCTATTTGTGAACACTGCATGTGGAGTATCAAACCCAGGTCTTCAGCGTGACAAGCAAACGCTTTAACCACTAGGCTACCCCACTGCCCCTTCACGGGTAGAACTTGTCTTAACATGCAGTAGGTGCTTGTTCATATGAAAACTTAGAGGAAACCAGTTTGACAGCTGGTCATGTTGATAAACTCTTGCAACAAACATGTCCTGCTGAAGACTACTTCCAACCAAGGTCTTCACAGGTCATTCAATCCAGTCACATATCTCATGTAGTTTGCTACTTGCCAGTAGTGTTGGGAATTGGTTAAAATGTCATAATTGATGATTGGTTCATTACATCCGATCAATCATCGAAAATAATTGGTTAGCATCATTTATCAAATGTTCCTGTTATCTTTGTTAATGCACACAAAAAAACAAAAAAAACATAGTTGTTTGTTGTTTTTTTGCAAATTGCAAAAAATGCATTAGCAAATTTCAAATATTTAAAGGATGACTCGTGAGTTAGGAACATAAATTTCCTAGAGTTTTTAAGATAAATTCAATCATGACTTGTAGAGCTTATGAAATGTAAATTTAATGACACAGACAAAACTGACCTTGCAAAAAATCTTGTTGAATCAAACAAGTGTTTCAAAATTGTTTGTGTTCGATTATTAGAAAACATGTTCGATTGCTTGTCGTTTAGGCACTGCGACCAATCTTCGATTATTTCAATTAATCGAAACACCTCTTAACTCTTTCAACACCAGTCAACCAGAGGCATTTACTGCCATGACACCGAGTTCCCAGAGACTCTGAGGTCATAGATGAAGCCTATGTTTATGAAGGAAATTATAAGCTTGTAAAACGTTATTGCTACTACATCCCATACACAATTTAAAAGATCTAATCCTACTGTTGATAAATATGAAGTTTATTTTTATAATATTATTAAATTTATACAACTACAACTTAAATAAATTTATATTTGAATGAAAATGCAAGCTTACATTTATAACGTCCAGATAAACCACGAAAGGAGCAAAAACTATGGCGATTTTTTCCATTTGTGACATGTCACAATATGCCCGTGCCTTTTTCTTTTATATTTTCATCTTTACGTAATCAGAAAATTATTATAAAAAGATTTCTTAAACAATATGTATGGTCGCCTATTTCCCGATATCTGTGGCTTTCCGCTCGGTAAAATGACATAACAACTGAAAATACCTCCGTTTTGAAGCTTAGTTATGAATAACATGCTTGCAAAATCGTTTGATGTCGGGCATCGTTAAAAGCTCTGAACATCAACAATATCACTGTACCCTTGTCAAGAGTATTTTCACAGTTGTAAGAAGCGATTTTATTGGATAAAAATTGGTTTCTAATGGCGCTTTTTAAGCCACAGTCTGCTATAAGGGTTAGCCATTGGTCAAAATCAGACCGTGACCTAAGGCAGCCAATCATATTACAGCAATGGATATCGTCCTAAAAAGCGAAAACTTTTAGATTTAGACAAAAGTTTTGGGTAAAATAATGGTATTCTGAACATATTAAGCAAGAAATGCGCTACCTATCGTAAATTATGGAACTTATTGGATGTATTGTGCTTGGTTATGACCTGTGACAAAATGCTTCATGTATGTATTTTCGCATTAAACATCGTGTCCGAAAGAAGATTGGTAGAGAGCGAGATGTCACTTGTCAGTGACTTGACTTGCATTACATGATGGCACAAAAGATGGAAATAGTAATTTTATATATGCGTTTGACAACTTTAATGAATGCTGTTGTTGATTTTATTCATTAGTTATTCAATTTATTTAATAATTTCCTCGAAACATCGTTACTTTGCTCTTTGACAATGTTTATTGTAGACCCGCTGCGAAGCATGTGTCCGAGAATCGTTGTTTTCAATAACATTGCGAAAAATAGTTTATAATTTTAATTCTGCTGATAATATATGATAAATTGAAATTTAATAAGTGTTTTCAGACATTGTGAAATGTGATAGATTTGATATATGAATCAAAAAGTCAGGTAGGTTCCTAAAATTATGTCTCATTTTGGCGTGACTACTGCCTGGCGATTAATGCGGCCTCCGGTGTCTGGGGACTCATAGCGTTGTGGCGATTATTAGGCCCTTGCGTGTTGATTTAGAGTTAATTCCTCTATACCCTAGCAACCGCGTGCATTTGTCAAATTTGCCATTTAATATGATAACAAACTACTTAAACGGAAGTGTCAAGGGGAACATGGTGGGGAATCGGGGATAAGGAATTATTTTTATGTTTTTGCTTATTGACATTTCATTTATCTTGTAGCTTAAAAAGTCACAAGCAGTCTTATACTTGTGAGTTAAGTTCTATCCCTGCAGACCAAAATTTGTCAGTATGAAATGTGAAACGGTTGAAACAGTCTGCTCTTACCACGGTATGGTACGTATTGCGGAACAAGGCCTTCAGTTCGGTATATCAGATATGATCATAATGCAGAAAATTGATAAGAACCAAACCCTACATTGCTAATAAGATGGAAAGAAATATCCATAATCTTTGTTATTTTGAATGAAGAAAATGGTCACTTTATGACAAGATTGAACTGACGTTACAAAAACCGAAAATACCAAATAGTTGGATTGCATTACAGTATACTGAACTGAAGGCAAAATACTGTGGCATACCGTTTGACCCCTAATGAACAGTTGAAACATCTACTGGTCCTGTTGGATCGTGTTGGAGTGAGTGAGTGAGTGAGTTTGGTTTTACGCCGCTTTTAGCAATATTCCAGCAATATCACGGCGGGTGACACCAGAAATGGGCTTAACACATTGTACCCATGTGGGGAATGGAACCTGGGTCTTCGGCGTGACGAGCCAACGCCTTAACCACTAGGCTACCCCACCGCCCCGGATAGTGTTGGATCCATACTAGACAGAGTGGTCAAGTTTGATCCTGTTGGAGCCTTACTGGTCACAGTGGGTCTGTTGGATCCCTGCTGGATCTGTACTGGACATAGTGGTCCAGTTAAATCCTTGCTGGACACAGTGGTCCTCACCATAAAGGGTATAAAAACAGTTGATCTAACACTAATTCCAAAAGTTGTACAAGCATAAATTACTCCTGCCCAATATACCACAAGATTGACACGACAGTGTTTCCGTTATCCGGTACAAAGTTAGAATGTCCGGTGGTATCAAAGGCTGTCGGTCATCGTGTCCGGCAAATTTTAAAATCATTTTTCTAATTACCTCTGTCAATTTTATTTCTCCTCAAAAAAGATTACGTTTTCACAATGACATCGAGGTGTTGTCAAATAAAAATAGCAGTTTTGGAAAAACCCCGGCTAAAACCCCCAGCATTGACGCATTGCAATACCCTCTACATTTCTGATTGGTTGTTAGGGTGCAAGGTCTACCGCACAATGAAAAGCATGATCCACTGACCAGTAAAATTTACAAATGACTGGTATTTGAAATGCTAGTCACGATGTCCAGTTGTAAAAAATGCCAGCGGAAACACTGTACGATTTTAATTTTACAGGTCCTTCAGACTAGTGTCAGACCAACAGACCAGCATTTTTGTCGAACATGGTGTAACCTGGAATAAAAAAAAGTGGGCATCTCTTGTAACCATGGTAACCTCGGTTACATAACAGATGAGTAGGATTTGGACAAAACTTACGAAGATATCAGACACAACCTGTGCACTGGGCTGAGGGGCGGAGGCGAGAGCGGGTTGTGGGTGTGGTTGTGGAGCTGGGGCGGGGGCTGACTGTATCCCTGGCAACGCATGATGCACAGACTGGGTGTGGTGGCCTCCAGAGACATTCGGATTCACCCTGGAAGAAAGAACAAAATAATCATAGCTATTGAGATATGTTTGTTTGTTGCTTAACACCTCACTCAGCAATATTCCAGCTGTATGGTGGCAGTCTGTAAATAATCGAGTCCAGAAAATCCAATGATCAACAGCATGAGCATCAATCTACCCAACTGGGACACGATGACGTGTCAACCAAGTCAGCGAGTCTGACCACCCGATCCCGTTAGTCAACTTTCACAACAAGCATGGGTTACTGAAGGCCAATTCTAAAACAGATCTTCATGGGTGAACAACTGAGAAGTCATATGACTTCGATATGGTATGTGGATAAACATACTGAAATTACTAAAATAAATAACATAGAATGAATGAGTGAGTTTGGTTTTATGCCGCTTTTAGCTATATTCAGGGCTACAGATAAGGGGCGTACAGGCGTAATGTACGCTTCAAAATCAATTAAGTACCACATAATATAAGATTTCAAGCGTATCGTGTATGCACATAAATACCTTTGTACGTCTAACATTTAATTTCCGTGCGTATCGTTCAAAAGGAAATCTATTTCGGATAAATACTTGTCAAGTTTCTTTTGTGAAACACGATTTGACACATGAGGAAACCCCGACAGTAGGAATCCCTTGCGTTGCCATGCAACGATATGCGTTTTTATTTTCGATTGGCTAAAAACTACACTGTTCCTATTTATATCCAGTCGGACCTGACATTTCGCGCATCACACGGTTGCTCAGTTTATTTCTCACGCGTCTTCAAATACAAATACATGGTAGGAAATAGTGATCGATGAATCGTCCACACAAACCACATCACAACTCGCTCACACAAAAACATGTCGGTACTCCTTCAAAATTCTCAGTACACCTCCACTTGCAATATGATGTGTAAGTACACTCGCACGCCCCAAAAGTTATCTGGAGCTCTGTATATTCCAGCAATATCACCGCAGGGCACAACAGAAATGGGCTTCACACATTGTACCCATGTGGGGAATTGAACCCGGGTCTTCGGCATGACGACATAATGCTTTAACCACTAGGCTACCCCACCGTCCCAAATAAAATAGATAAAATAAACATCTGTGATGGGCTAATTTGGGGAAAATATTTTCCTAAAACTGATCCATGAAAAATATAGTTCCTTCAACAAAGATGCAATCAGTTATTAAGAAATCAACATACACTGGGGAATATTTAAATCCAATTTGCGATTTCTTATAACACTCGATATTTTTATGCTTGTTTATAATCGCAGACTCTTACGAGTGTCAATAGCTCAGTTAAAATAAAAATGGTTTTGTTAAAAAGTTCCTCGAGTACCTTTAAAATAATTTTTTTTTTTTTTCAACCTGCTTTTTACAAAAACTGTAATAAATACACACCTCTCCCAAAGTCTTGGACAATAATAAAACACATAGGCGCTCTAGAGGAATGATGCCGGAATAATAAATAATCTGTTTTTGTCAGTATGTAGAAGTATCACTGCTAAGGGCTCATGATAGTTAACTTAATGGGACAATTGTTTTTTAAGGCCAGACCAATTTTATTTCTTGTTTTACAGATCCGCCGGACGTATTTTTTCAAGAATAAGAAAAAAAATAAAATTTAATTTTCCCCGCTCAAAAAATAAAATCCTCATGTTTTTATTGGCCAAAAATGTAAACTTACAAAAAAAAAAATGTTTTGATTGTTTTTTGCCCCACATAAACTTCATAAATTGCCAAAAATAAAACACTTTTCGTGTTTTAAAGGAAAATTACTTTGACTAGTGATTATTATCTTTTATTTTTGTCCCTCCTGCCTTTAGGTTTTCTGAGGACAAAAATCCGTAAAACAAGAAATAACTGACTGACTGACTGAGTTTAGTTTTACGCCGCTTTTAGCAATATTCCAGCAATATCACGGCGGGGGACACCGGAAATGGGCTTAACACATTGTGCCCATGTGGGGAATCGAACCCGGGTCTTCGCCTGACGAGCCGAACGCTTTAACCACTAGGCTACCCCACCGCCCCAACAAGAAATAAAATTGGTCTGGCCTAAAATACATTTGACATTAGATGCTGATGGCCATGCCCACTACCAGACTACTTGGGAGACATGTCAGCACTCCTAGTATAGCCTTTGCCATGCACAGCCTCCAGTACAAATAAATCAATGAAAGAAAACTTCAACTGATTTTTTTCGTTTCACAAATATTGATATATGTGGTGTGCAACCCAAATTTTTACAGTTTTACATCCATAAACGCCAAAAATATTGAAGCCAGGTCTCAAAGGGAAAGATTCATGGGAGTGAGGGTGTGAGTAAGGTTTATGCCTCTTTATGCAATATTCCGGAAAATATCACAGCGGGGGACACCAGAAATGGGCTTCACACATTGTACCCATGTGGGGAATCGAACCCAGGTTTTCGGCATGATGAGCAAACGCATTAACTACTAGGCTACCCCACTGCCCCGAAACTTTATGAATGACTGACTTTCGCCTCAAGGTGAAAGAGTGCAAAAAGTAAACAAACATATTTTTTATTACAAAAGTTTTTCTTGTAGCAAATCCTGCTTGAACAATACTTTGTTTCCAGCTGCCATCTATTCTATTCAGTTATTTCCAATTTTCCAATTTGTAGGAAAATGTGAACGTTGAGAACTGGTTCAGAATTAGAAATGTTGAATGCTAACAGCTCAGGCGGACTACTGTCAATAGATTTTCACAAAGGCCAAGAAAAATATATGTCCGTTTCCTATTACATGCTTTTAAAAAAATAGGGTAGGTGGGTCAGTTTTATGTTGTTTGTTTTTTTTACTTATTTTCATATTTTTAGTAGCACCAGGTGGGCACCTGAGAATGTTTTCAAGAGTACCATACAATGCCTTGTGATGAAACACTGAAAGATGTCTATATCAAATCATTATTTATGTTATTTATTTGCAGGTTTTGTCAGTGAGAATCCATTATGCCAATTCAATGCAATCCATTTTAGCCCTACATACACTGAAAAACATGAAAAAATCATACTTGATTTGGATGTAAATGATGAGTTGAAAACTAAGTGTCGTGGTGTCCTTGAAAATAAGGTCAATGTCACCAAAATTAACTGGTGTCTGTGTAATCCCTCAATGTAGGCTGTCACCAAATTTGTAGACATTGGGTACAATAGTTCATGAGATATCGCGTTAACAAGGGTTTTGAAATGAGATATCACGTTAACAAGAATCAGGACGTACAGACGCCGCTGAATACATAGTCCCCCGTTCCGAGTTGCAGTGGGGGACAACAATACCTAATAATGTTTTAATTAAAAAAGTATCATTCATCGATGTTTGAAATTAAATATTTAAATTGGTTATCATATCGACTCCAACCTTATCATTTATCATGTGCACACAATCCCAGGTCACAATGACCTCCTGTTTTACACTTCAACAATGTAAGAGATATAACAATGTTGCTTTGGAAATAATAACAGTGTAGATACTTTAGTAATCTTTACACACTTTGGTGAAATTTCTATTACAGCTACAGGCTAAAGTTTAGAGGATTGTTTCATTTCATCCGTGCCTGCATAATCATTTCTAAAACCTTTGCATTTCAGTAAACTGAGACTGAAATTTATTCTGGAGCACAAAACTGGAAGAATGGAAGGACACTCCTATGAAATACTGTATTTCCTCTATTAAGCGCCGGGTCTCTATTAAGCGCCGGACCTCTAATAACCGCCGGGGATAAAGCAGTGCTTTAAGAAATAAGCGCCAGGCCTCTAAAAAGCACTGGGTACAGACCTTTGCATATTTTCACAAATGTATTCTCCCTTGGTCTAAAAATAAATATATTAAGGAATGGTCCCTTAAATCATAACTTCATAACTAATCATAACATAATTTAAAAATACAGGGTCCGTTGAAAAAATAAGCGCCAAGGGCCCTTATTAGAGGAAATACGGTACCTATCACCATATCCTGAGATTAACAAATTGGCTACCCGAGAAGATCCGGGTTAGAATTGGTCTTCAGTAACCCATGCTTGTTGTAAAAGGCATCTAACAGGATTGGGTGGCCAGGCTCGCTGACTTGGGCCCATTTCCAGGGCCCGTTTCTTAAAACTTTCAGATTTTCTCGTAGCATTAAGTAACTCCTATGTTACAGTATAGGAGATTCGAATGCTACGAGAAAAGTTACGAGATCTTAGGCTTACGAGAGCTTTGTGAAACGAGGCCCAGGCTTGCTGACTTGGCTGACGCATGTCATCATATCCCAATTGCATAGATCGATGCTCATGCTGTTGATCACTGGATTGTTTAGTCCAGACTTGATTATTTACATATTAAATAGAACATTGCTGAGTGTGGCGTTACACAACAAACAAACTGGCTCAGGATAATGAACTTGTACAAAGCGACCTTTCTTTCAACCAATCAGACCATTGTTTATCAGATTGTGAAAGTGACAGTCGGAATCAGTTTTCCAATCATTAAACCTTGAAAAGGTTAATATGGATCCTTCTGAATGACAGTACAGTTCCTCGTCAGTAGGAAGTACAGTGTATGGCCATACACATTCAGCCATACTTTTGGATATTCAAAAATCTTTTGATCAGTATTAAAATTTTGATATTTTTGGTATTGAACCATATATAGAGATCATAACACATGCAAGTGTGTCATACAACTTATACGAAACGAGTGTGAAATTTTGTATTGACGAGCATGTGCGAGGGAAATACATAATTTTGCACAAGTTTCATATAAGTATAAGTTGTGTGGCACACATGCGAGCATAATAATTTCTTTATTATCCATTTTATTTATGTACATTTGAGCAGTAAAACACGGTAAGCAAGTGTGACAGCCCTCTTTACTGATGTTACGTTCAATTGTTTAATGACGTCACAGACGACGAAATACAGAAACAATGATTGCTAGGCGAACGTGATATGTGCACATGTGCACGTATTGAAAATATGACATGATGTATATTCCACCAAATGGATAATAACTGACCTTTATCAAATCTATAGAAGCAAGACGTAGAAATACTCTAGTACTTTACCAAGAAAAGGGGCACTTCCTTTATTTAAACATACTGGTAGACAGGATGGATTACCAAGGCAGCAAAGACTTCGTGTAGATTTTGTAATAGCTTTAATACTGAAGATGAATTTCACTTTATGTTTGCTGTGATTTACAAGATGCGAATTGACAATGGATGCAACAAAAATTTATTAGCGCATCCACAGAGACCTAGAAAACGTCCAAATACTTTTTGTAAAAATTCCAATCAAGTAACAATAAGTTATCACTGTGTTTGCTATTAGCTGCTTTATGGTACTATTTGCAATTTAATTACTGTAACAATGTGATGATCATGATACACAAAACAATACAATAACAGTATTAATAATAATATTTAAGTGTCCGGGACCCCCATTTTGTAGTCCAGGACCCCCTGAAAATTAAGAGTATTAGTCCTCAGATACACGACTCAAGGTATATCCCTGTGTTTGAGTACCCAATTTATCATGATCTTCGTCAAAAATACTTTAAAGGTATGCCAGTGTAGATCAATAGCTATTATTTCATTAATACACTTCTTTGTAATAATTGTTTGCTTGCTACCAATTGTGCAAATTATGTAAAAGATGTGCTTGCATTTCATTCATCATATATGTATACAAATTAATATTGAAATATTATCATGTTTTTGTACTTGGGCCTAAGGCCTTTTCACGAAATAAACTGATTAATATTCAAACTAGAAAGCGGTTTCTACTCGTAAAAACAGATGTCTCCTCCTTCCCCCAATTCAACGTTGAGACCTCAAACAATTCATTGGATTCCTTCAATTTCAAAACCTCTAAGTTTGAAAATACATATTATTGATAGTATGTTATTATGTTTGTAAAGTCTTCGTTTTTTCAGTCACAGAGTTGTCTCTAGTCAGTAGTGTTCATAGTCAGTAGTCTAGTCTAGTCGATGGTGTTTTATAGTAGTCGTCCGCCCGGAGAGCGGAAGGTCGCGGGTTCGATCCCCGACCGCGTCATACCCAAAAAAGACATTAAAATATGGTACTTGTTGGTCCCTGTCTGGCTCTCGGCATTAATGGGTAAAACAAGGACTGGTCGGCTCAGAGTCAGTATAATGTGTCTGAGTGGGGTATTCATGCTTCACTGCGGCATGGTATCTCAGTGGGCTAGCACTATAAAACAAGCTTCAGTCTGGGCAAGTACAAGCAGCCGCACATACACATACACACGCATGCACGTCGTCATATGAGCAAAATATTCTCAAGTACGACGTTACACCCAATTTCACCTCACCTCACCTTTATCGTAGTACATGTATATGGCTGATGCTTCTAAGCTTGCTAATAATTGGTATTAAGTAGACAAAATTTGGTAAACAGCTATGCTTCGAACACAAACCCTATCCTTCAAAAGGACCAAGTCCAAATTTGTTGCCATTGAAACACACACAAAAATAATTGAAAGAAATGTTCAAACCCCCAAAAGCAACATCTACATGATAAGGAAGGGCAGTATAGCAAATTTGGTGAAGATGGGTCAATTAGTTTCAGAATTTTGCTTTGGAAACAAACTTTACCCTTCAAAAAGACAAAGTCCAAATTGTTGCCATGAAAACAGAAAAAAAAAAAAGATTGAAAAAAAAAATAATCAAACCCCCAAAAGGCAATTCTACATGATATGGAGAGGTAGTATAGCAAATTTGGTGAGTATTGTTCAAATAGTTTTAGAGGTTTTCGGGACGAGACAAAATGTAGAATTAAGATCTGTAAGAAATATTTTTCGCAGTATTTGGAATATAAGTCATCTGTTACAACCCAGTGCAGTAAAAGGCTTATCAATGTTTCGAAATGTCATTGCAGGTTGACCTTTAATGAAATGTACTCAGGTCTTTGATAAGCTGCATTGGGAACTAAGATCGGATTTGAATGAGATTGGCATCAAACTCAGACTCTAGCCAGCTCAGCTAATAATAGTCCACGATTACAGTAAATCATAGACAATAATGCTCAAAGCCATGTTCCAGCCTGTAGTCCCTCAACGATCAGTCAGTCAGTCGTTTGTATGTGAGTGAAGATTTATAGTAACGTCAGCAATATATCAGCCATATTGTGACCAAAAAGTCATAAATTCATGATAAACACAGATAATTAGAAAAACCTGTCGACGAAGGATAGTAAAATAAGTATATTATCACATAAAAATGTAAAACTAGCATGTAACTTTAATATGAAACAGTTATTACAGACAAGACAATTATTAATACAGGCTGGAAATCACCAACAACTGAAGGTATATCACAACGCTTGGGACCATGGGGACTTACAGTGCCTTTGCAACCTGCATGGACCTTAGCTGGATTTACATCATCCCTTCAGCCGCTGGCAAATCCAGCCAGGCAATTGTAGTCAAAATTAGCCATCATTTAAAATCACAAATATACTACGTTTAAATATCTAGAAAGCTTAATTTTACTTTGAATGTTCTGGGACTTGGGTACCCCCACAGGAGGACAATAATTTTACAATACTATCAATTCGTATAAATTATCATAAATTAACATAAATTACTGTATAAAGCAAGATTTTTGAAACCTAAAATTTGAGGGTTTTAGGGGGAAAAAAAAAAAATGAGGTATGGGGTTTCTTAAACCTAAGATTTGAAGGTTTTAAAGGGGGGGGGTGATGAGTATGGGGAGGCATGGGGTAGATGATATGTGTGGGAGGTGGGGCTTGCCTTATGCACAGATTATAAAATCCCACATTCTTTCTACTAATTGTTTTGGCCAAAATTTCTCTTATTACACCTTTAATCTAATTAAAATATTACGCTTCATTCTAATATATGATGCTTCTGTGCCAAGATCTATCTAACTCCATTGGAAAATGCATTAGGTATGCCATCAAATTCTCATTATGTGCAAGTGAAGCACTTGGAACTATCATCATATCACTGTCCCAAAATAAAACAAAAAGAGGCAGTTCTGAATGGAAATAATAAAGGCTATGTGATCATATTGCTATGAATATTCAAAACAATTTACTGTTTCTGACTGAATATGCAGCCAAAAAGGAATAAAACTATAGGAATATTTGTGTTCTATGTGGGTTTCTTTAGTTGGATCAAAATTGTCTATCCTCGTGATTCTAGGCATCAAAGAAATGAAGCCGAACAATTTCAAAAGCTGGAGAAAGTTCAACACAAGAACCACGGTATGTCGGATTTACACAACACTCTCAGATTTGCACATTCAAACATGTATTTAACAATATATGCATTCACACTAGGGATGTCACGATACGATACGTATCACGATTTTAAGGTCACGATATGATACGTATCGTGATACATAATTTTCGCGCCTTTTCATAGCATTACCTTACCGGCAACGTACGCGCTCTCTGATTGGTCCATCAAAATAGTCTAGCCAATCACAAAAGCTGTTAGTTTCCAACCTATTTTTTAAGTAAAGCTAGCTACATCTATTTATCGGAGCGGTCTCGTATAATTTTACTATCAAGACTTTGAAGGAGATGGATATAGCTTAAAAATTTGAATCGATAAAGTTTTAAAATAGGAATCGACACACGCAAGCATGTATCGCGTATCGTTATCGTCAGTAAAAATGTATCGATGCATCGATACATTCGCGTATCGCGACACCCCTAATTCACGCTAAAACTGTTATGACGCTGCAAGCCACTACCTGTAAAACAAGAAAACGACTACTCCCTCGGCAGCTATAAATAGACTTGACTTCCTGTATTACGGCAGTTATATGATGTTGCGATCGCGAGCCTACATGGAGATATTTACACATATTACATGTATACTAAGGTTGTAAAGATTCACTCGCATATTCGCTGAATCGAACCGTAGCCCTTCATGAATTCAATTCGTTATTCGTGGTCACCAGAACCGAATATTAATGAATATTTACGACTTTTTTAAGGGAGCATGTTTTACTTGAACCCTTATGTCCTTTCCAAAGTGAGATATGCAAACATGGAACATGTACTAGCATTGCAGTAGTGCACGTCATGTTAGTTTGCCAAGACTGCACATGGTACTGTCGACTAACTATTACATACCAAATTTGAGTGTCATGAGATCACTGGTTATTGCTATGACAAATAAAAAATGTCAACATGGACGTTCCATAAAGTGCATCAATCACTTAACTACAATATTATATTTGAATAATCATTCGTATTCGTTACCCAAAATTCATGATACGTATCATATTCGCAACATAGTGTATTCGTTGCAGCCCTAATAATCATTTATGTTATTCTTGAAGACAGTATACAGTATTATCGATTGAATTTTTTTTAAATCAATAAGGCCAGACCAATTTTATTTCTTGTTTTATGGATTTTTCAAGAATAATAATAAAAAAATATAATAATTTTTCCCGCTCAAAAAAAAAAAACCTAATGTTTTTATTGGCCAAAAATATATACTTACCTGAAAATGTTTTTTAGATTGTGTTTTGCCCCATATACGCCTCATAAATTGAAACGAAAGTAACATACTTTTAGTATTTAGAAGGAATATTACTTTGACTGGTGATTTTTTTTTTTCTCCTGCATTTAGGTTTTCTGAGGACAAAAATCTGTAAAACAAGAAATAAATTTGGTCGGGCCTAATCGAATTTTGATTGTCCAATAAACTGATTACTTGATCAGTCGGTGTACCACTATTGTAAACCTTATTTCCAATAAATGAATCAGAGCGAGACTCACGTTGTTGTAAATCCCGGTATTGGGAACTGCATGGCGCTGTTCAGACTCTCAGCAACCTCGCCGTACCGGGGCCCTCTAGGGGCAACAACTCTTGGAAACGATTCGTTAGAATTGACTCTCCGCTGGAAAAGGTAAACAAGTAATTAGTAAGGGTGTCATTGATTGGAAACTAATTAGAATTAACTCACTGCTGAAAAACAACAAATTAGTAACTGTTTCTTTGATTGGAAATTGATTAAAATCAACTCTTTGCTGAAAAATGAAAACAAGTAATTAGTAACTTTGCCATTTACCGGAAATTTTAAGCCTATACAAATAAAAAAAATCAATGATTCTGTATGTGCATAAATAAACATTCCCTATAAATAGACCTGCAATACATTGATATAATGATATTTGGGAAGCTCTGTGGAGTGTTTGAAATTGATTGTCTATCTTGTTGGATATCTTTGTCATTAAATATTCTGGGGCAGTGAAAAATAGTATCAATATTCATAAATTTCTACTTGTTTGTACTGATATAGGATCAACATTAAAAGTTTACCAATACACTGTCATAACAAAGACTTAACACTGGTAATTTGTCAGGAAACAGTATATCTATGATTTTCAACTCAGTGCCTATGAAAAGAAATGGGAGTAAAACCGGCATTATTTCATCCCAAAATGTTAAGTCCTTGTTTCTAAAGTGAGTGAGTGAGTGAGTGATTACATCTTTTAGCAATATAAAACTAGCAATATTTCATCCCAAAATGTTGTCCTTGTTTCTAAAGTGAGTGAGTGAGTGATTACATCTTTTAGCAATATAAAACTAGCAATATTTCATCCGAAAATGTTAAGTCCTTGTTTCTAAAGTTAGTGAGTGATTACATCTTTTAGCAATATTCTAGCAATATAAAACTAGCAATATTCCATCCCAAAATGTTAAATCCTTGTTTTTTGAGCTGTAGGTATTTCAGTGTAGGGTATTATGATGTGAGTGAGTGAGTGAGTGAGTGAGTGAGTGAGTGAGTGAGTGAGTGAGTGAGTGAGTGAGTGAGTGAGTGAGTGAGTGAGTGAGTGAGTGAGTGAGTGAGTGAGTGAGTGAGTAGTGAGTGAGTGAGTGAGTGAGTAATAAATACAATGTTTATTCCTAATGCAGGATATTAGCCATACCAAAACACACTTGCATGACAACCTATATTTCTTGTTAGTTGTATAGAACGATGTTTCGATGTAGATTATAATACCTATGTTGTGAAGCCAAACTTACTGCAACCAAGAAATGTAGCAGATTGCCTTTTACAACAACACATACCTGATAACAAGTGAGAGAGTGACTGTGAGAGTGAGTTGGGTTTTTACACCACTTTTACAGTGTTCACGAATAGCGTCTGACCCTCTGACAAATCCGGCAGATTCGCTAACTGTCCGATAGAAGTCTACAACCTGCCGGCCCCAGTGTCTGACTGTATATTTCACAATGACTTTGACTGAAGTTGTTTTATGTGACATGTAAAACTTGTTTGCTGTTTATAAATCTTATGTTTGTTAATAACTTCAATGTCAATTATAAGCAATATTAAATCTGAAATGTGTGTTTAATTTTATTCCATGGGTCCTGTGCATTTTCAATGGGTCAGACAGACATCTGAAACTTACATGGGGACATCAGAAATGGGCTTCACACATTGTACCCATGTGAGGAATCGAAACCAGGTCTTTGGCGTGACGAGCGAACGCTTTAACCACTTTGCTACTGCTACGCTCCAGAAAATACATGCTACGATCGTCTTGTGGATAGGGTTCCAGAATGGTTTCCAGAAATAAATGTTTGATGTCTCAGTCAATGTGAGTGAGTGAGTTTGGTTTTAAGCCGCTTTTAGCAATATTCCAGCAACATCATGGCACACAAAACCAGAAATAAGTCAAACATTGCATCACAGCATACAACACCAGAAATGAGGTCACACATTGTACCAACTGAGCCAATCGACCCCGGGCCATCATCATCATGAGCAAACGCTATAACCACTGGGCTACCCCCTGCCCCTGATAACAAGTGGTACATGGTTGGATGAGGCCAGATGGAGTGTGAGAACAACCAGCACAAGTCATGACGCCAAAATAAAGAAGGGTTAAATTGTAAACAGATTCATTAGAAGCTGCAGTCCGTTTGACTTCATTTTAGACCGATGAATTGCTCACTAACACAAAATCTAATAATTGCAACAAAAGCAAATTTGGCAGTCACATGAAATAGACAGACCAACTCTGATGATTTGTCTCATAATTTTGGACATCCGGATAAAAAAGTTGTTTAAAAAACGATCATTATTCTGTTGTCACTTTTCGCTATTTCTTACGAGGGAGGACCACTTGCTGGTGGAACAGCTGATAGACTATAGTTGAAACATTGTTTGATAGTTTATAACCTAAAACCATAAAAAAATTGAATATACAATTTACAATACTTATTCATGATAACTTTACTGATAATCCATCAAGGATTTAAAATAGTGAGGGAGTGAGTTTAGTTCTACACCACTTTTAGCAATATTCCAACAATGACATGGTGGAGAACACCAGAAATGGGTTCCACATTGTACCCACGTGGGCAATCAAACCCAGGGTCTTCAGCGTGATGAGCGAACGTTTTAACCACTTGGCTATCCCAACGCTCCAGGAATTAAAATAATAAACATGCCATACAATGGCCTTGGCTAAAAAAAATGCAAAACATCGCGGTAATTCGGCTTATTCACAATTCAGTAAGCTGGGACAAGCTGTCAATATAGGTTAGAAAATGGGCCAATTAGATAAATATTGGAGAAGTATCTTTGAACAAAAATGAGTTTTTACTGAAAGAAATGACAATATTTCACTGCTGAGGGTTGACATATTTAGGCTTGGATTACTAACAAGACACAGTCCTGAATATACCGTAGTTTAGAAACAGCCCTTGAATAAAGACCTAACTTTGTGCAGTATCTGTGTTAGGCCCCCAAAAATATATGTCCGTTTCCTATTACATGCTTCTTAAAAATAGGGTAGGTGGGTCGATTTTATCCCTTTTTTTCAGTAGCACCAGGTGGGCACCTGAGAATGTTTTCAAGGATACCATATAATGTAGTGACAATGCCTTGTGGTGAAACATTGAAAGATTTCAATATCAAATCATTGTTCATGTTATTTATTTGCAGGTTTTGTCAGTGAGAGACCATTATGCCAATTCAATGCAATGTTTTAGCCCTACATACACTGAAAAACATGAAAATATCATACTCGATTTGGATGAAAACGATGAGTTGAAATGCACTCCAGTCATGATTTTAACTTGGTTAAAAAAAGATTTAGGGTCAAGGGGGATAGGATAGGGTCAGTCTGGTAACCAGACATATGTTTGGGGGCCTTAATTAAAACTTTATTTCATCACAACAGTTTACATTATTACGTGACAGTTTTATGGCAATAATCATTTATAATTTTTCCATCGCCAATATTTCTGATTATTGATCTTTTCACCCAGCCCACAATAAGCAGCTTTGACAAAATGCCCAAAGTTACCTTACCGCATGACTTGTTTCGATGAAATTTTGCAGATCTATCTTTGATAAATAACTGACAAGTTTAAAGTAAAAAAACACTCTTTTACAAAAATCAAATATCTGGTTAAAAGATTCAATTCAATAAATCCACAAGAGAATCATAACTATGGTAACAGAACAACTGTCTACAGTAGGCAAGCAAAAAAGATCAATAATCAGAAATATCATCAACAGGAAAAATAATTAATGATTATCAATATGAAAATAGTGTTGATAATATCATTCAGACACTTTTGTTACAGAAAACAGTTTCAATTTACACACACAATACACAAAGTTGGGTTTAATTCATGGGTTGCTCCTGAATTATGTTCAGGACGCTGTATTGTCAGTAACCCATGCATAAACATGTCACCAGTGACTTTTCTTTGACATTTTTGCTCAAAGCTACGTCTCCAATATTTATCAATAATCAATATAAATTTATCAACAATTATCAATCTCTATGATCCATACTGATGATAGCCAGTCCTAGGCAAGTATGTAGAGATGCCAACCCTAATTTAGCCTAATTAGTATTTTGGTCAAAACCTGATGCAAAAATTAGTATTTTTTGGCAAAAAGTAGTATTAACTTTTCCAAAGAATTTTCATATTAAATAAAAAATGTAAATATATAGTCTAAGGCCTTGTTATTAGCATTGTACACACCTAAATCAGTAGTAAGTATCCACATATAGCTTGATACTGAATGAAAAATGGGGTTGAAATTTATTGTGTATGGTACGTATGCTATTCGATAATTTAATTTAATGTACAGGTATTTTTTTTCTTCAAAATTCGTATATTTTTACTGCCATTGTAGTCGTGTATTTTGTGTTGTTTTTTTCGTAACGAATACGATAAAATCGTATGGGTTGGCATCTCTGGGTATGGGTGTGATAACGTACCTGATCCTCGAGACGACGGTGCATCATCTCTTGGTGGGAGATGTATGTGATGTGAGCAACACGATAAGATGAGGGTTATGTGTGTCACCCGCCAACAAGAAGATCTGAAACAAGACATTCATCTGTCAAAAACATCACACCATACTCAACATTCACCGAAAACTTCAGCCAACAAATTTCAAGCAGTGATCAAAACTGATCATGTTAATTTGTGTTTGTTTGTGTTATGTTTAACACTGTACTTAGCAAAGGTCCATGATATGATGGTGTCAGGACCACATGATCCGGTGGTTGAGACCATGATTGGGATACAATGATATCAGCCAAGTCAGTGATCCCGTTAGGTACCCTACACAACAAGCATGTGTTTCTGAAGAACATTTCTAAACCAGATTATAGTCTTCTCCACTGACATTTAAACTCAGAGATGCCTTGAAGAGAGAGAGACAAAGATGGGAGGGAGAGAGACAGAGAGAGAGAGAGGGGAGGGAGAGAGACAGAGAAAGAGGGAGGGAGAGAGACAGAGAGGTGGGAGAGACAGAAAAGAGGGAGAGAGGGGGGAAGGAGAGAGAGAGACAGAGGTGGGAGACAGAGAAGGGAGGGAGAAAGAGACAGAGAGGGGAGGGAGAGAGAGAGATGGGAGAGAGAAAGAGGGAGAGAGAGAGAGAAAGAGGGAGAGAGAAAGGGGGGAGGGATAGAGACAGATAGACAGAGGGAAGGGAGAGAGACAGTAAAAGAGGGGAGGGAGAGAGACACACAGAGGTGGGAGACAGAGAAGGGGAGAGAGAGAGTCACAGTCCCACAGGGTTTAACCTTGACCAACAAAATTAGGGGTCCATAGGACCCCCAATTCGTAATTTCAACGGTGCTTACATGAAATACAAGGGTCCTGTACTGATGGGATGTAGCAGACTGTACTCTATGTTTAACTTAAATACATGATTATGAACTTTCTAATTCTTGTTACGAAATTTGAACAGTGAATATTATGGAAGGACCCAGTGGACGTAATATGTTTCTGCGTCCATTCATTACATTTGTGCGCATTTGACACACATTTCTGTTTCATAAGACCCTTGGTCCGTAGGGCTGGGACAATTCACCAATACATCACGATACATTTATGTTTGGTAGAGCTATCGTATCATCGACAGGTATATCGATACCAAACAATACACAACTTTTTTTCAAAACAGTATTATCTTAAACATGTTCAGGTACTTATTTAGAGAAAAATACGCAAACAGGATAGAGTTACTTGTTTGTTTATTACAATAGTGTTATTATTATACACAAATACCTTGAAATAAATCATTTTAAATCTTAATACTGTGTCATTCTTTCAAGGTGTATGACGCAGGTAAAATATCGCGATATGTATCGTGACATAGTGTATCGTCCCAGCCCTATTGGTCTGGTATGCCCTTTGATAGCAGATTAGCTTTGCAAGTAACCACAACAACTTTAAAACGGACTTTCCTAACCCTAAACACGACAAAGCAGTTTTAATGCAGGATGTAACGATCATGTTGAGTATCCTCCCTTCAAATAGTTATTTGTATGTATTCTCTGAGAACATACTTCCAATTTGTATACAAGTTTGTACCTGTGTTACATTCTTGTAAGTAGTTGTACCTGTGGGTATGATCCTGTCAGAACTAAAGTTGAAACTATAAATGAGTATCACAATAAGAAACCATGAATCTTCTCCCTTTTCTGAGCACAATGGGTAGTTCATATTTTCGAAATCCCATCGTTTTCAGTTACTATGTAAGAATTCAAGTCTATTAGTAGCTCTGCAATGAAAACTGCTCTGTCTGTTATTTAACAATACAGCTTAGAAAAACAATAGTTTGATAGAGAATATCAATGAACAGAAATAGCCTTCTGTAATTTCAGTATCGTAACTTGTATTTGTGAGATATCCATGTGAAATTTGTATTGTCAACAAACCACGTATCACTGTGGGACAACTAGTCAAGCTTTTGGACAAATATACCAACATTAATATACTGAATAGACAACAAACGTGTCAACTACAAACCTTAGTAACTTTCATCTCCATTGTATCCTATGCATGGACAAGTAAACTCGTCGAAATTTCTGGCTCGCAGCCAGTCACAATAACCTAAACATCATGGCTGACAACAACCTGTGTCCCTACGAATAATCAACTGTTCCAAAAACCTTTCCCCCCTAGCTGCTTATGTTTCGAGTCTGGGTTACAAAAACGACCCACCCAAAACACACAATTGTGAGATTGGCTGATTGGCGAGTACTTGGAGATTAATATTTTCATAATTTTAACAAAATAAGTAACCGTTGTGTTCCGTAGCAGCTTCTCTTCGAACTGGTGAAAATATGGACTCGTCCATCGTAAACTGCTGTTCCTGAATAACCACACCACATTGAACCATTCCCGCTAAATTTCATCAAACATTTCATCGTTTAGGAGATTAAATCATATTTACAAACATGACAGTTGCCTCAAATCATGCAGTTTAATGTCCCAGTTGGACAAGGAAATGAATAAAATCTCTTTGAATGACCAAGGAAGCCCGAATTTGATCAAAATTTAACCCGTGTAGCGAACAGATACGCTCGTTGGGAAAGAATGAGATGCATTCCACAATCCGCATGTAACTCAAAAGCCACCAGATTTCAGAACTATTATAACAAGTCCGTGCTTGAAAGGTTCAAGAATAACTGCAAGATAGTGATATTGACTAAAAAAATAACTCTGATGCACAAATTTGACATTTCCTGGATGACTTTATCGTCGAGCCTGGACGAGTCCATTTCTATCAGCCACACAGACACATATTTTGACAGACCTGTCAAACTAAGCCTAACGCTCGATTTTGTTCATATGCGCAAATCTGATTCCATAAACTCTAAGAGGAACATGGGTGTTCTTGGTTTTGCTGTGGGTGACGGTTTAACAAAATTACGGGAATGTTTAGGTCCATGTAGGTCACACAACATTGGGCGAAGGTTGTTGTGAGGGGCTTTCCTACCGCTTCCTCAAAACACTTCAAATTCACAAACTACAACACCATCGAACCCTGACATATAGATGCAGGTAATCTAAAAAGCATTCATAGTTTGTAAAATGCTTTACTTACCGTAATATTTACCAAGATGATGCTGATAACAGCAGATTATCCACAGGGAAATCACCGCGGCTACCCCATACAAAGTTCGCCTATGCTATTTGGGTCTCCCTGACGTCATTAAGATTTGTCCAATCAAATTGTCAGAACCATTTTGAACGTCATTGCGGGAAACACAGGTAAACATTGCCGCTTCCGGGTCATTGAGCAGGTGCCCGACGTTTCCGAGCTTATTATCGTAGAGCGCTACGCATGTTTTACTACACTTTCATTCACAAGTCATGATGGCGTTTCAGTTAAATGTGTTTAAACGCATTTTGAAACGAAATAACAAACTAAAAGAACAAACGCAATACACTCTGGCACGTTTTGTAAGAAGTTAATGAAATATAAACAAAAATAATGCTGTAACTGTATTCTGATCATTTACAATTTTAAAAGAAAATTTCAAATGAGGCACCAACGCTGTGTCAACCAATGATTTTTTTTTGTCAAATGAAATTCAAAATAAAAGAATTTTCCAAGGTGAGCGCACATTTCCACCTTGTGGTATTTTGACTGAGTGAGTGAGTTATGTTTTACGCCGCACTCAGCAATATTCCATCGGTACGAATATGGAAACTATCGATGCTGAAGGTACACGTATGTTGGTTGGTTGTTGTTTAATGCCGCACTCAGCAATATTCCAGCTATATGGCGGCGGTCTGTAAATAATCGAGCCTGGACCAGACAACCCAGTGATCAACAGCATGAGCATCGATCTACGCAACTGGGACAAGGTGACATGTGTCAACCAACTCACCGCGAGCCTGACCACCCGATCCCGTTATTCGCCTCTAACGATAAGCATGGGTTGCTGAATATCAGTTCTCACCCTAAACTTCACGGGTCGGGTTTTGACCAAACGTTGGGTCAACGAATAACAAATCATAGGTGGATCCAGAAATTTTCAAAGGGGGGTGGAGTTCAGGGGGTTCGAACCCACACAGTCACACAGTCAGATATGTGTTAGTCGGCCCTGGCAACCAACATTGGTGCAAGTACAAAAAAACACTCCGAGTATATTTCCAAAATGCGATATGTCCCGTATTACCTAACGGTAGTGATGCTGTTCTTTAGCAGGGTAAAATTAGCACGATTGGAACTGCCATGTATAACCGTAACCCTGTCCGGCTATTAGCTACTGAAAAACGTAAGTGTAGCTTTTTAATATAATTAACCTTCAGATATATATCAGGGCTGTAACGATGCATTGAACTATCGATGGATTGTATAATCCCCAGGGAGTTGAGATTGATAATACGATGTGCCGTTGGGATTGACATCCGATGATCGAGGGAAAAAATACCAGCGCCTTGAGCATGCACTAGTTGCCTGTATATGTGCGCTATATAAATATCCTATAATAATAATAATAAAAAATATTGTTGAGTCTCCGATAGCAATTAATCGATGGTAGAAACGAAAAAAAACTATCGATGCATCGATGGTGACTATCGATAGTTTAGTATTTGAAGTGTTTATTTGGATCGTTATTTATCTTTATTATATATTAATGTTGTTTTGTATTTTTTTATTGTTTGAATGCAGACTTTCAGCTTCATTGACTTTATGTTTTAACTGTTTACTTGATCATGGTTTCAAGGTTTTTTTTGTCAGTTATCAAAAGACACTGAAACTACCCCAACTTGTTTTTATTTCATATAAACTTTAGGAAATGACTTCAAATGAGACAATTCAAGGACGTAAAAACTATTGCAATAGTTGGTCGCAATAGACTATCGTTACTGCAATAGTTGTTTCCTCCTCAATAGTCACCCCTATATCACACGTAGTTGTAATTGTGCTAATGTTACCATGCTAATGAATCCCTACCTTTATTTAAAAGGGGTTTTACCTGTGTGTCTGGGTTTCTATACACATAACCGCCATGGATATTTGAGATTAAGAAAAGTGTCATTGTTTGACAAAGCTGCCATTGTACCTTTTCAATAAAACGCAAATTTAAAGTCAATAATCTTCGGTTTGGTTTGTTTGTTGTTTAACGTAGATGACAACGGGCGTTAATATGTTTAATATCAACATCATTCCTCGACGTTTACATAGTAAGCTTTCACATTCAGCTGCCTGCAAATATCTGAACAACACAAACTAGTGATGAAAGTCATGAGCACACGTTTGTTTGTTGTCGTATTCATCAATATTCCAGCTATATGGCGGCGGTCTGTAAATAATCGAGTCTGGACCAGACAATCCAATGATCAACAGCATGAGCATCGATGTACGCAACTAGGATACGCATACATCAGCCAGGACAGAGCCTGACCACCCGATCCCGTTGGTCGCCTCTTACGACAAGCATGGGTTACTGAAGACCAATTCTAGCCCGGATCTTTAGGGGTACAATAATCCTAAAATACAGGGAATCCTCGTATTTAAGCCCTGTCGAGTTTTAATAACGAGTTTTGATTTTCGAATTTAAGCCCATGGGATTAAATTTAAAATTACTTTTAGAGTGATCTCACTACTGAGATGGGTTTACTACTGGACAGACCGCCTCCGTGGTGTAGTGGTTAGAGCATCCGCCCGGAGAGCGGAAGGTCGCGGGTTCGATCCCCGATCGCCTCATACCAAAAGACGTTAAAATATGGTACTTGTTGGTCCCTGCCTGGCGCTCGGCATTAATGAGTACAACAAGGACTGGTCGGTTCGGAGTCAGTATAATGTGTCTGAGTGGGGTATTCATGCTCCACTGCGGCATGGTATCTCAGTGGGCTAGCACTATAAAACCAGCTTCAGTCTGGGCTAGTACAAGCAGCCGCACACACACATACACACGCATGCACGTCGTCATATGAGCGAAATATTCTCAAGCACGACGTAAAACCCGATTTCACTTCACTTCACTATATGTACCACCAGCATTTGAGGCTGCACTTCTTGATGAATGTAGTTGTCTCCCTTCGTCGCTTTTGCGCCGTGTGAGTAAAACGATTTTATGTACAATGGATGCCCGGCTAGTTTGGTTGTACGACCATTAAACATTAATCATAAACAAAATAACACGTATTAACGTTTTATTTGAACATAAATCCATTCATTCAGGTTAGACCTCGGTCCTCGGCAACAAATGCTGGTCGTAGTGAGTGAGATTTTACGCCGCTAGTTTAGCAATTTTCAAGCAATATCATGGCGGGGGACACCAGAAATGGGCTTCACACATTGTACACGTGTGGGAAATCGAACCCGGGTTTTCGGCGTGACGAGCGAATGCTTTAACCACTAGGCTACCCCTTGCTGGCTGTAAGAGTCTTCTTTGCGCGTAGCAAGCCAATTATTTTCGTGTAACGTTTCAAAGCTTTATACTTGTATTTAGATAGTATTGATTGCTTGCCCAACCTTTTTAGCAGCAATCATGTGTAAGCCCGGGCTTTTTTTATAATGGTAGCTACGCCCCAGGCTTCGTCATGGTCAGGCTCGCTGACTTGGTTGACAGCGTGCCAACAAATGATATATCAGTCACTTGATTATGTGGTTCACCCCGTACGATTATTAATTGTTGTTCTACGCCGCACTCAGCAATATTCCAGCTATATTATTATTATTATATGATATTTATATAGCGCACATATCCACGCAACTAGTGCATGCTCAAGGCGCTGGTATTTTTTCCCTCGATCATTGGATGTCAGTCTCAACGGCACATCGTGTTATCAATCTCAACTCCCTGGGGAACATACAACTCTTGCAGCCACTAGGTGCACCGAGTTATTGTGGCCTTCTCATCCTAACGAGGTACCCATTCACAGCTGGGTGGACTGTGACAGTACTTTGTCCAAGTTCACTGCACGTTGCTGTACCCGCAACTAGGTGTTTGCACGTATTCATGTGGCCACCATCTGGTCATATACCAACGGATTTGTGGATTCTTTTAAGTGCACAGGGATGTGTACTGTACACTAGGGGTTGTGACAACACTGAAAGAGTCTGCACACAAAGTTGACTCCGAGGGTTTTACACCCGGTCACACGTGGGCTCGATCCCGACACCTCAAGCTCGCTGGATCACTAGCCTGGCACCTTAGCCAGCTCGCCCACCGCGCCCCATATGGCGGCGGTCTGTAAATAATCGAGTCTGGAAGTCAGTCCCGTGATGAACGACATGAGCATCGATCTGCTCAATTTGGATACAATGACGTGTCAACCAAGTCAGCGAACCTGACCACCTGATCACGTTATAATATAGTCGCCTCTTACGACAAGCATGGGTTGCTGAAGATCAATTCTAACCCTGATCTTCACGGGTGTTTTAAGGATAATCCCAGTGAACTGATAACTGACGCCACTTTGAACCAGTTTGACATGACATGATGAATTCGTGTGTCATTATGGCGAGTACTGCCAGGAATATCACGGCACTAGAAAAGGGCTTCACTCATTGCATACACTGTGTTACGAGCTACTGTACAGAAAAGGCTACAGAAACTTTGTCCCGCTAGTCTGTGGCAACCTCAATTACTCAAAGAGATTTTAAAGACATCTTGTATTAATTGTTAAAAAGCATCAATGTGGAACTAATGATAGATCTATCTTGTGAATAACAACCACCTCTTAGGCTTAGGGGGCGGTGGGTTAGCCTAATGGTTAAAGCGTTGGCTCGTCACGCCTAAGACCCGGGTTCGAATCCCCACATGGGCACAATGTGTGAAGCCCATTTCTGGTGTCCCCCGCCGTGATGTTGCTGGAATATTGCTAAAAGCGGCGTAAAACCAAACTCAGTCAGTCAGTCTTAGACTTATACATGCAACTGAATTGTAGCAGAACTGACACCGACCACCATCGACAGACATTTATCCATCCACCCATCCATCCATCCAACAGAATCCCCCACTTCCCCACCAAAACCCCTACTACCCCCCATATCCCCCGATGAACTGGACTCCTGCCACATATTTGAAAAGCGCATAGGAATCTATCCGCTCCCAATCCTAGAACCAGTTAGACGAGTCAGCTGGTCATCAGGTGTCGCTCGTATCATACAGTCTAAAATTAGATTCACGTTGGCGTATGTCGTTGGTCACCATGGAGAAGGCGTTTCAAGACTAT